TAATTATTTTATATTTTAAAAATATTGTAGAATATGCAAGATAGACTAAAATAGAAAATATTATAGGACAAATGTAATACTATATAATATTTTTATTAGTTAGTAAAAGTGTATAAGATGATGGTAAAACTTTTGTTTTTTGTACTTTATGTACAAATTAATTATACATCTAATGATATATTTATAATTTATGTAAAAAAATAATAAATATGTTAATAGTAGTGTATGACTTGAATGAGACGGACAAAAATAATAAAAATGATACTTTTAATTGGAACAAATAAATTATAAACTATAAATATTTTTAATTAACATGACAAAAAAAAGATACATACATACATATATACAGATGAGTAGTAAATATTCGACACTAAATATCAGTATTCTTTTATTATCAAGATATAAAAAATAAAAAAATAAAAAAATAAAATAAAATAAAAAATAATAAAAAAAACACTTTTACCTGTCTGCATGTCCTCTCCAAAAATAGAACCAACATTTTAGGTTGAAAAGTATTTTTTAGAAGCATACTGAGGATACTTCTGAAATACATCGAAACACTTTTTAGCTAAAATTATTATTTTTATCCTTAATAATATAATAATGATAATAATAATAAATATTATAATATAATATAAAAATAATTAATTTATATATTATATTTTTAAAAAATTAAAATATATAATAATATTACTCCATCTGTCTTCGATATTTTGTCCGATTTACTGTATATACGGGGAATTTAGGAAGGGTATAATTAGTAAATAATTAAAATATATTAGTGAAAATAATTATCATATAATAAAAATAATTATAGATTAAAATTAAGATAGCAGATTAATATAATTAAAATTAAAAAATTATATATTAAATTTTTAAAATAAGATTAAAGTGTATAATTATTTTCCAAAACATAAAAGTGACAAAATAAGTGGAACGGATGAAAATGAAAAAATGGACATGAGAAGTGGGAAGAAGGAAATATTATTTTTTATTATATATGTTATACTTGAATTATATTTAAAATTATAATTGAGATACCAAATTTAAATAAAAATATATAATTTTTCTAAATTATACTAAAATTATTAAATATAATTTCAAAAATTTTAAAATAAAATAGAAAATACGGATAATTTAATATTACATTGTAATTTTAGTTTTAATTTATATATTTTCTTTGAATTAAAATTTTAAAATATAAATAACTAAAATTTAAATATATATTTTTTATAATTTTATTTCAATATTTAATTATAATTAATAATAAAATTTAAAAATAAATTATAAAAATTCTATAGAAAGATTCAATTATATTAACACAATATCATTTTAAATAATTTTAACCGTTTAAAAGCACTTTCAACTCTATTAAATTCAAATATATATATATTTTTAATCAAAAATTATTTTTATAATCATTCGTCCAAATACAAAATTGAATTACATTCTTACTCTTCTACTTCTGCTTTTAGCTCTGTAAGCAAATTCTTAATTGAAAATATATTTTTAGTTATTTTTTCTATTTCAGTCAATGGTGTCTTTATTTTACAGGATTAGATCATATAATTTTAAGATTATTTAATCATTAGGGTAATTAGTATAATATTTATTTTATTTGATTAAAAGGATGTTTGACAAATAATTATTATTTTTTTAAAAAAATAAAAATAATTTATTAAACAAATTCTATTTGTTTGATAGTTAAACAACTAATTTAAATATTTTGTAAATTAATTTTTTTAAATGTAGTAGCTTATTAGCTTATCTGTTTGACCTTCTGTTTTTTATCTATTTTCGTTCGTCTCATTTTATTTGTAAATTATATAATTATATATTTTTAATTATATTTTAAAATGTAATATTTATAAATTTTTAATTTTAATTATATTATTTAATTATTCTAATCATAATATATAACAATTATTTTTATTAATAATTTTTTTAATTACTCACCAATTAGGTTTTGTTTAGATAGAAGTTTTTGAAAATTTTTGAAATTTTAATTCAAAAAAAAAGAAATTAGTATTTGATTTAATATTTTATAAAAAAAATATATTAATATGATATTTTTTTAAAAATAAATAATATCAAATGAACGAAAGTTTTTACGTAAACAAAACCTATACTTCATTCGAATTCCTAAATACACGTTAAACCAAGCAAAAGAAATGGGACGAAGGCAGCACTTCATGTTACAGTCCGTACGAAGGAAGCCCACAAATTCAAGACACGTCATGGTTGTAGGGGCATTGTTGTCTTTTCAGGATCTCCACTGTCAGTCGGTACAACAGCGGACAATTAATAAATAAATAAATAAATAAGCGGAGGATTCATCATCCATCCTCGGACGGGGCCCACCCTTTAAATTAAGTAAAATTCCATAGGGGCATTTAGGTCTTTACACAAGCACCGTTCTTTCAAAGCAAAAACATTTTACTAGTATTTTATTATTAGTATTACCCGTAGGTAGAAGCTGAGCTGAAAAGACCGACAAATAACCCAACGGCCAAAAACGTGGCAGAATCCTGACCGTTGGATCAATCCATCCTTCTTCCCCACTGTTAATAAAATAAATATTAATAAATCTCCAATGTCAAAAATGGGGGACACCAATTACCATTACCATAATAATTTAATTTAATTTAATTTAATTAATTTAATTTATGGGAAAGATAAACAAAAGCAGATATATATATATATATATATACACACACCACTCCATATAGATGGACCTAACCTAACATTTGGTTAACAACAATAAGTGGGTGTGGGGGGTAATCAGAATTCAGATCAGATTTTTTTATCCCTTATTATTTATTTATTTATAGTAATAATAATAATAATAAAAATAAATTAATAATAATAGTCTTTTCATTGAAGCAAAGTCAGGCAGGGAATTGAGTGTGGGCCAATTAGCCGTTTGGGTTGGGGGGGGTGAAAGAAGGGACTTCCATTCTTGCCGGCTCCATGGACCTCAGCACCACTATCATATGGTCGTATTATTATTATTATTATTATTACTATTTTAAGTGTTTGACTGTGAGTAAAATTTTAAACTAATATTGAATAATAAAATATTAAATGATTGTTGTATCTAAAACAATAAATTTAAGAAAATTTATTTATTTATTTATATATTATAATATAAAGTGCCATTTAATTGTAAATACGAATGGTTGGGATAATTACGATGAATAGATTTAGTATAAATATATATTTCTTTTTTATTGAAATTAAAGTAACAGATAGTCTGTGAAATTATATTATATATTTAGTATATTTGTATTATTTTAATATAAATTATATTTTGTTTATATTTCCGTGTGGTGTTGTTAACATTATGTCCTAGTAATTTCTGTTTTTTATTTTTTCGAGATACTTATATTTTTTTTATTATTTGTTAATTTTATACATAATATAATTATAATAAATAATTTCATTTATTCACAATTTATTATTTCTATTTTAATAGTAATATATTAATTTTTTTTATAATATATATATATATTTTTTTATCTATTTTATTTTTATATTAAAATGTTATTACTTTTTAATTTTTAATATATTATTATTTTCTAATCCGGTGTCTTGAATATAAAAAAATAATACTTCCTTCATCATTTAAATTTTTTTTTTGTTGTCATTCAAATTTATTCTTATTTTATTTTTAGTAAAAAAATATCTTTTTTTTTTCTTTAAAAAAAAATTATTTTTATCTTTTTTAAAAAAAAAATTTATGCCGGTCAAATGAACACACAATTGGGAAAAAATAGGAAGTAATTTATACTCCCTCCGTCCAATTTCTATTATCCTAAAATACATTTGTACGGTTTTTTAGGTGATTGTCTTTTTATTATTAATTGACAAATTTGCCCTTAATTGTATAGTAGAGATTAAAAGTAATAAATGAATGAATTGTAAAAATATAAAATGTGTATTTAAAAAAAATAGAAAAAATAATTGTTAGACATCTCAAATAAAAAAAATAGGACATTAGTTTGTAAAGTGAACGAGTATTTGATTAAATTTTTTTTTTTTATAAAGTAAAAATGACCACAGCTCTATTGGTTTCTGGAGGTCCAGGAGCTTAGTAATATAGATAAAATTGGCCAACCACCTGTCCTCTAAAATTGTTTCTTGTATGTTTAGAACAACACTAAATATCTACGTTTATCATCATTGACCAAAAATTAATAAATAAATAATTAATTAATTAAAATAAAATCCCACTAATAATATTAACGACAAAATGTAAATTTACAGATTACTAACATGAAACAAACAAGAATTTCGATTTTGGGTCAAGAACAATGATAATCCATCGTCATCATTGGTCATGATGATGCAGACAAAAAAATAAAAAATAAAAAATAAAAAGAATATCGGAAAGTTGTGGGAATTGCTTAAATAATTAATTAATTACCCAATTAATCTAATTTTATTTAATTTAATTTAACCAAATTGTTGATTAAGAAATAAATAAAACCTGTAAAGGAGCAATCTTTAGCAGCACCAGATTCAAAGTTCTACTTCTATTTTTTTTTTTTTTAAAAAAAAGAGAAATGTTTGTTGGACAATTCTCAAAGGTGGGGAAGAACATAAAAGTTAATTAATTAATAGCTATATAAACGCGTCTAATTCGATCCTTATTTAATAGTATTTGACTTAAATTCTAAATAAATTTTAAAATATTAATTTTTAAAGCTTTAAAATTATAAATATATTTATTTTTTTATATTTAATCTTAAAAAATAATAAATATACTTCTAAGAGTTTATTTAAGTCAAATACAGTTAAACAAGTTAAACAAGTACAGTCGAGGGGTTAGACGAAAAGTGTAACGAACACGAGAGAATTTCACGCAATTTTAGAAATTTTGGGAATTTGGCCGAATTTCGTCAAACGATTTTGTGTAATTTAACCTTAATTAATTAAGTAATCATATCTAATTGTGTTCTTGGTTTGCTTAGCAGGGCTAGAGAGAGAAACTGGTGCAATTTAGAGAGAGAAAAGATAGATAGAAATAGAAATTGGGTGTTGTGGGGATTTCACTTTCAGTTGGGTGAACTTTTGTTTTCTTCAAGAGAGACCCTTCGAAGAAGAAGAAGAAGAAGAAAAGTAGAGAGAGAAAGAGAGAAGCAGAGTTCATCCAAAGGTAAATAAATCAAAACTAAACCCCCAAAATCCCCAATTCTTTCAATACCTAATTTTGTGTTTATTTTTATTTTTAAGTGCATGAAGTGATTTTGTGGCAGAAGATCTCTTGGGATTTGGCCATTTCTGCCTGTCTCTCTGCAACAATTCCATGGCAAAGTATACAATTCTCAATCTTATTTATTTATTTAATTATTTCTCTACAACTTCTGTTAATTTTTATAATTTAGCATTTCCTCTTTCGATCTTCTTCTGTGAATTTTTTCCTCTTACACAATGCTCTGTAATTCCGTTGGATCAATTCTCTGTTGCTTTTCTTTCGTTTTGACGAAGAACTTCCACCTGAAACACACACACACAGATATTATAATATTTATATATATATATCACCATAGATTTGGGGGTTTTGTAATTTTCGAGCATACCTATCTCCTGCAACAAATTGTAAGATTAATCAGTTCTGAATTGTGCTTTAATTTCTCCAATTCTGTTTTTAACCTGATCCAAGAAATTAGCTACAGCTTGTAAATATTTGCTTTTAGATATGTTTATGCTAAAAAGAATCATTAAAATTGTTGAGAATCATAAGATTAATTGCTCGAAATTCCTTTGAAGGGTTTAGCTTTATTTGATTTCTTATGGCTACTTTGTATTAGGATGATTGTTGGAACACTATATAATATGTAATTAATTACGGATATATCAGCTAACAAGTCATAGCTCCTTGGAATGAGATGCTAGTTCGATTTCAAATTCGATTTCGATCTTTATATATATATATATATAAACTAGAACGGGATCCATTCTTACCGCTAGCTTTTAATCGCGACTATCTTCGCTATAGAAGGATTATGGTTTAAATTTTTACCCCTTCGAGTCGAGCTTTGATCGAAATGTAGGTTATTCGATGGAGATCATCTTTCTTCATGATTGATTATATTGAATAATGATCGAATTATCTTTAAATCCTGGAATGCTCGATTATTTGAGGTGTTAGTAGTCAAACATAGAGTTTTCTATCATTGTAATCGGATCTCTTTGGTTGGAGATCGGGTTTTGAAGCCTTCGAACGAACTGCATGTGTAAATGTTCGTAATAAATTCGTTGTTTCGATGTAGGGCGAGACCGTAATGCTGAAAACATGGGGAAGAAAGGGAGCTGGATTTCGGCGATCAAGCGTGTTTTCACGCACGGTTCCAAGGAAAAGCACGCGAAGCCAGCCGATGTAAGTAACACAAAACAACGCTATTTGCGACCAAAAAAAAAATTAGCCGGTTTTCGTTGTCGTAGCAAGTTTTGTCGCAATTTTCTTTCTAGCGTGAAATTGACCGTCGATCAAGTTGTGGTTTTTTTTTAAAACGACGCTATTTGCGATAAAAAAAAAAAAAAAAAAGAATTAGCAGGTTTTCATTATCGTAGCAAGTTTTGTCGCAATTTTCTTTCTAGCCTGAAATTGACCGTCGATCAAGTCGTGGTTTTGTTTAGGGGTCGTCGGAGAAGAGGCCCGTTCGGGAAAAAAGATCCGGGAAGGGAATTCTACGGCGCGGAGATACCAAATCGTTCATTCCCCTGTTCCGGGAGCCGAGCAGCATCGAGAAGATATTAGGGGAAGCTGATCAGCTCCTGCTCAGGCCACCCGCATCGTCGGAGCCGCCGAAAATTGGTTTGCCGGGAGCGTCGATCTCACCGCTCGTCGCATCGCCGCAACGGGATTCTCCGGGGGTTCGATCTCCTCGAGCCCCCCGTCCTGTTTCTCCGAAGATTCCTTCTCCAAAAGCTGTTTCCCCAAAAATTGCATCGCCGATAGCCATTTCTCCCAAGGCTTCGACATCCCGGGCAGCTTCTTCGAAAACTGTCGCGACGCCTCCGAAGGTAGGAAAGGGCAAAAAGGGAATTACCTATGTGAAGAGGCCAGAGCCGAGTTTGCGAGAGCAGCAAGTTTCGGCGACTAAGATTCAGGCAGCGTTTCGGGGTTACTTGGTAATGATTTTCGTCGTCGCCTTGTCTGAATCCCACGATTAGATGGGTTATTTACGATGTATTTATGTTTCAGGCAAGGCGGAGTTTTAGAGCGGTGAGGGGATTGGTGCGGCTGCAAGGAGTGGTGAAGGGACAAAGCGTGAAACGACAAACGATCAACGCCATGAAACAGCTGCAGCTCCTTGTCCGGGTTCAGACACAAATCCAATCTCGAAGAATCCAAATGTTGGAAAGCCAGCGCCGGCACGATAAAGAAGCCGAGAGTACTGTCAGCAAATGGACCGCGAACCTGCTGGTGAGTGTTATCGAATTCGTTAACTACAATGTAATACATTTTTTTCACGGCAAATGTCTCTCAGAATTGAGTTTTGAATAGTAAAATTTGTTCGTTTTTTTTCTTAGTCCGAAGCCGGACAAAATGAAGATTGGGATGACAGTACACTAACAAAAGACGAAGCTGATGCAAGGCTACGAAAAAAGGTTGAGGCGGTCATAAAACGAGAGCGAGCCATGGCGTACGCGTATTCTCACCAGGTATGCGCTAAAATCTTTTCCTTAAAACTACGTATGTTTTATTGCAATCGAGTAGGGATATTACGTGAGTGAAGCTACAAGAAAGCTTTAATCATACTAACGAGTGGAGTTTGAGCTCAAAAATTTATTTAGTCAAGTAGACTTAGCTCAATAAAGCTCGATAAAATAATAAATTTTTATTTTTATTTATTTTTTAATGCATAATATATAAAAATAAAAGTTCGAGATCTCGAGCTCGAGCTCAAACTTGAACTTCTTTATAAAACTAGTAAGCTCGGGTTTGGCCTGATAGAAGATCGAATCGAGTTGGAACATTAGATACTCATCTCAAATATCAAATCTAGCTTCAAGTAAGAATTCTTCTTTGCTAGTGTAGTTTAAAAGTTTAAAAGTTTAAAAGTACTTTGAGGTCTCAAAATCTTTTATATCAATATTTTGAAAAAACAAAATATCATACCCTTATTATTATTTTTTTTTTCCAAAAAATATCATGTTAAATACTCAAATTTTATTATTATTCAAACTTTCAGAACACCTTGGTTTAGATAGAGGTTTATTAAGTTTCTAATGATTAGTAAAAATAATGTTTTGTGAGAAAAAATAAATATTTGAAGTAATATTTTTTTTTGGGCAAAACAAAATAGAACTCATTCTTAGTTTATGAAAATTGCACATCTCATTGTTTAAAAATTGCGGCAAATATCTTTATAGTTCAAAAAACCTTGCATTTAACCCCCTTGATTGTTCTAGACTTACTTAGGAAGGTAATTCAGAAACTCTAGATCTACAAAATCACCATAAACTAACATCGGAAGGGGAATTAAACACAGTTTTTCAAATTATAAGAGAATTTGATGCAATTTTTAAACGGCGGGGGGTTTCGTGCTGTTCTTATAAACACATATGAATTTTATGTCATTTTGCCTATCCTTTTTAGAAAAAGTTATTATCGATAAATAGTTCATAAACTTACACTGGGAACTTTCAAAGACAATACTATATATAAACGGATATCTAGCTACCATTTAACCTCTTTCAACTATTCGACATGTTTTCCTTTGCGATTTCAGCTATGGAAAGCAAACCCGACCTCGACTCAAACTCCGGTTGACATCCGCGCAAACGGATATCCATGGTGGTGGAATTGGCTCGATCGTCAACTCCCTCAAGAAGGCACCTCCCGGGGCCAACCCGCCGGAAAAATCGTCGCGTCAACTCCTCCAAGATCGATCTCGGGTTACAAACCGAGCCCTCGATCCCACAAGCCGGGAAGCTTCACTCCCGACAACCACCACCACGACTTGCCCGGAACGCCCCAATCGTCGAGATCCGTAATCCCGACGACGCGGGTCAAGCAATTCCATACCCCGAGCCGGACTCCTCCTCGGCCCGGAAACGGTAATTCATCGACGAAGCCGCGGCCAATTTACGACGCTCCCATGAAAGACGACGATAGCTTGATGAGCTGCCCGCCGTTTCTCGCGGTCCCGAGCTACATGGCGCAGACGGCGTCGGCGAAGGCGAAAGTGCGGGCGAGTAGCAACCCAAAGGATCGGTTGTTTGCGGGAACGGTAACGGGAACGGGAACGGGAACGGCGGGGAATGAGTCGAAGAGGAGATTCTCGTTCCCGTTGACGCCGAATACGATCGGGTCGTCGTTTAAGTGGAATAGAGGGAGTAAGGAGACGAGCTCGCAGGCGGATAAGCAGTCGGTCGGGGGGATGAGCGTCGACTCCACAGCGTCGATGCCGGCGGCGTTGATGGGGCGGAGGAAGCCGTTTAACAGGTTTGTGTGAGAGGTTTGTGCTGTTTGTTTGTGTTTTTTTTTTTTTCTTTTGAACGTATGTATGTTTTGTTTGTTTGTTGTGATACACATCATGTTACGATATTGATTGATATTGTTGTTGTTGTTGATGATGATGATGTTTGATGTTTGTTTGTATTTTGGGAGTGTTTTAGGGAAATTAGGTGATTGTTGAAGATGATGATGATGACAAATTTAGTGATTGTTGATGTAATAAAATGGAGATAGAGTGAGAGACTGGATATTATGTAGTTTTCTATTTTATTTTTATTTTTAAATTTTTTATAAAATGGAGATAGAGTGAGAAAGTAGTTATTATGTGATTTTCTATTTTATTTTATTTTAAAAATTTTTATCATTGAGATTGTTGAAAATGAAATTTTATTGACATATAAAATTATATAGAGAATAAAAGAAAATGAAAGTGTATATTATATTAATATTTTTTTTTTGAAAAAAACATGTGATAAGAAAAAAGAAGAAGAACAAAGTCAATTGCTTTGAACTTTGTTGTGGTTTTAAAAAATAATAATAATAAGTATTTGTTTTATCTATTATAAAAAATATATATAATTTTTTTTTTTTTTTTTTTTTATCATTGTTTACAGTTTTTCTAAATTCGTCTTATAAAAAGTAAAAAAAATTATTTTTCAATGATAAAATGAGTACTTATATATCAATCTAAACCCAATATATATATATTCTCTTCTCACTATATAATATAAATATTTGTAAAATTATATTTTTTTATCAAATCAAAATAAGAGGTGTGTTTTGTTTTGAAGTTTGGATTTTGAGGTGAGATTAGAATAGTAAAAATTTTAAATTTGAATAGTTGTATGATGTGATATAAATAAGTATTGATGTGATATTTTAAATGTAAAATTGATTTTTATATAATATAAAAAATTAAAAATAGGTGTTTGATTTGATATTTTTGGAAAAAAAAAATATAATGAATAATTAGATTTACATCCAATCGTCCAAACATACACGACCGATATTCTTGGGAGTATTTTACTTTCACATTTTGTTGAAAGTACTGTTGAAAAAATTTAGAAACAAAACACAATTAAATAAACCTAAACTTTCATAAATATTAAAAGTTGATTTATTTAAATTACTTCTTATTTAGGGAGTATATACTTCTTATTCTCAATAAAATACTACTTTTATTACATTAAAAATATTATTTAACTAAAATTTAAATAACTATTTTAATTTCAAATCAAAACCAAAACACATTTGCTTTTGGCACAAGTTTTTAAATGAATAGTATTAAGTAAAATAATTTAAAAATTTTATGATAGATGAAGAAAGAAATATATATTTTATAATATTTGGATCTGATGCAAAAATTAAAAAAAAATAATAATATTTTATTAAAATATATAAAAATAAAAAAATAATTGTTGATATTTTTAAAAAGTAAATTAGATATTCCGTAACAAAGTTTTTATTTATTCCATAACAAAATATTAATTTTTTTTTATAATAACTATATTATCTACTTAATAATACAAATACTCTTACAATATATTACATAAATATAATTACTTTTATATTACACATATTAATATCTATTTTATTTTTACTAGATCTTATTATAATATTAATATTTTTAAAACTAGATAGATATTATGAAATCATTGTTTCAATTGATTTTAGTACAATGCCTTGTTTGTTTTGGTCTTTAGATTTCAATTTCAATATTTTACATTCTATTTGACTAGTTTGCTCGACAGTTATCAACATGACAGTGAGCTTATTAAGTGTGTACCATCTATAATTGCTTTCCATTTATTTTTGATGATATTAATTGTCGAGATTGCAATATTAGGGGAGGTATGAACAATTTGTATTTGTACCATAACACATTACTTATAATCCCTACATTTCCTTTTTTGTTTTTGTTTGTCACAAATTCACTATAACATTTTCAAAAACAGCCCTCACAGTAAATAGCAAAACATTCAAAAAAAATTTAAGGAAAGGAAAAACACTAGGACGAAAATGTGTTCAATTACTTTGCAATTTACAAAAGAATTGAACATCAGAGAGTATATTTCACTACATTCTCTAGGAATGAAGTTTGTCTTGCAAATTACCAGGGAACAACACTCGTTCATAAAAATCAATAAATACAAATTACTTAATCGTGAGTTAACTTCAGCTTGCTTTCGTTCGGAGTTTATCCAAATAATTTTCAATTTCGAGGCCAAAAAAGATGTTTAAATAAGAAATATGTGAAAAAAAATTGAAAATACAAATTACCCCCAACAAATAGACATAGCTCTATGACTAAAAAGCTTTCCAGATTTTGTTAATTGTAATCATCTAAAAAAATTGGAAAAATATATATTGTTGATCCACTTAGCTATATAGCTGAAACACATTCGGTTCGGCTGATCAAATCCTAAACCTGAACAAGTCAGATTCAACATGCATTTCCACAAACACACGCACATACCTTGCTTGCATATGTGCGTGTCTGCGTCACACCGAACGTAACACAAAATCATTCGCTCCTAATTCACAAATACATTAGATTATCAAAAAAAAAAAAAAAGGTCAACAATTCAATTCCGAAGAGATTCAACTAAAATATCAGATCAATCATGAAATGTCGAAAATTAGAATAAAAAATTTCGCGAGATGTTCGAGGCCGTAATCAAAACCAACGAGATTTGAAAGGCACGGAGAATCGCTTAATATTTCGCCAACCTTCAATGCAAGTGGTTCGTCATAAATTGACGCCCTTGCTCTGCAAATTGGCTTGAAATCCGTTCATCCAATACAAACACACAACAAATTCGAATCAAAATCTGAATCCAACAACAACATCATCACCTACACAGGACACCAATCCCCAAAAATCCAAAAATAATAAAACCAATCGAGAACAAAACCTCCCGAACTGCAAACGGCACCGCGCTGGATGAAGAACTGCAACCGAGAGAGGGCTATTTATACATGAAAAAATTAGGGCTACCGCTTAAACCCTACATGTGAATTGACTAAATTGCCCTGGAAGAACAAAGCCCAAAAAAAGGGGCCCAATGGGCCTTCTGATCCAGAGTTATTTAAACTCGGCTCATTAACGAAACTGAAGATAAACCATCATTGTGAACTGTCAATTATACCCTTCAGCCCCTTCTCCAAGAAAATGAAGAAATGTATCCGCCATTGAAAAACCTTCTTGAATCCTAACACACCGATAAATCCCTAAAACCCTAAACTTGAAGGGAAATTTCATAGCAATGGATCACATAGCAGCAGCAGAAGAGAGGCTGGTGAATGAGCGTATGAGGCAGAAGCTCAACGAGGTCAATGCCGCTGCTCAGTCGCATCTCGCCGGTGTACAAGACCACATCAATTTTACCCTCCAGGTTTTTCCCCCATTTTTGCTCTACGTGAGGTTTTGTGATTATTTGCGCCGTGATCGTTCTCTTAATTCGGTTGCGGATTCGTTTGCAGAAAGCTTACTTCAAGTGTGCGTACGAGTGCTTCGACAGGAGTAAGAAGCAGGACGAGATAAACAATTGTGTGGAGTACTGCAGCGCTCCTGTTCTCAATGCTCAGAACTTCGTCGAAAACGAGATGGCAAACTTTCAAGTAATTGCTCATTCCTTTGTTACGATCCTTTTTTTTTTAGGTATGGATTTTCATGAGATGTTTGATTAATTTGCTGTTGCGTATGAACATTGAACTACATACTAATGTGGATCAACTGTTTGTCCTGCATTAGCTGTTCTAACGTAGAATTAGCAATATGATTTTGACCTTTTTTTTCCATCTCTACCTGAATCATACTCCAATAGTTTAGGATAGCTCTCAATTCCAAAAGCTGTTTCCAGGATTTTGTGTTCATTGCACACAAATGGTGGCTAAAGTAAATTCTTATAATGATAGCTGAAGCAAGAAAATATTACATGTCCTTTTGTAATCTGTAGAAAGAACTCTGATGCACAATTGATGATAGTGATTAAGGTTCAAAGAGTCGTCGATTAGGAAGATTTTCTGACAATCCTGGAAACAGTAGATATTCTTTTCATTTAACTGAACTGCATCAATTTTTCTTCCATAGATAAGTGCTTGAAAATTTGGGTGTTGCAATCAAGCTATATGGCTCTGTTTACCAAGAGGGTTTTAGAAAATTTTGAGAATAGTAAAATGGAGGTTACTTGAATCTTTCGGAACTCTCCCGAAGGGGTTAGAACTCTTGGCTAAGTCCATCCGACAAAGATTAGACTTAGTCCATATTTATTCGTTAGATTTAGTCTATATTTATCCGTTGTTCATTCTCTATTAGATAAAATTTATCCGGTAGTAGATATAGGGTTGTCCCCCTCATTTGTAAATCACCATTCAAGAGAGTAATACACTTACACTTGGTCTGTACTAGCAAGGTTCTAAAGAGTGTCGATGAGATTTTATAGTTTTGGAATATTTTTAGAACAAGAAAAAAATATTGTGATGTTTTGTGAGAGAGTGAGTATTTGATATGATATTCGTTTCGAACAAAAAAAATTATTGTTGAATAGCACTATCAAAACTTTCAAAAGTTTGTATGTAAATAGAAATAGAGCCTATAATTCTCCTGTCCAGTGTAAACTCTTGGTTAGCTATCAAACTATTCGGCACCTTAACTAAAAAACGCGAAAACTTTTATTGTCTATAATGAAGCTAGTTCGTGACAATACCTCTTTGATGTTTACAGGAAAAATTGAACAGATCTTTGAAGGTATGTCAAGACAGATATGAGTCAGCGAAGCTCCAGCCCAACAGCAACAATGCCATGAAAGGCTTGGAATCATGTGTCGACTCGTCTATTGATGACAGCATCAAACTGCTTCCACACCTAGCTCGAAAATTGAAGGAATATCTTGCAGTTACGGATTAGCAACAACTTTACCATTTTATAAAGCCGGTAATCGACCCTTTGTGAGGTAAATCAACTTGCTGTGAGATGAAGCGATACTCGAATGAATCAACTTATACACATTTGTATTTCCCAGGAACCTGAAGTTATTCGATAAAAAAAAGTGCAGTAGACAATAACACAATTTTCATTGTAACTAGAAATCAACAGGGGAGCTTTTGCCGAGATATTTATTCGAGTTAGGCAATTATCGCTTGTATCAAGTGCAACTTTTTCATGCATAGACAACCTCGGACTAACGGGGCAATATCAAAAAACACATACCACTATGTAATACTTGCTATAGAATGAAATTATTCAAATACCAGACTAGAATATGGAGTGTTTTACATAGAATTGCCAAAGCTGTTGTGGGAGATTCTTAGGACAGGATTGATATTCAGGGTTCTGGTTGCATTTTTTCGCATTCTTCCCGGATGGACTGGAAAAGAAGTGTGGATAAGTACCGTTCTCCGAAGCTTGGAAACACTACCTGTAAGAAATAAGAATGCCGGCTGTGTTAATTAGGGGTTTATTAAAGATGTAATAAAACTAGAATAACATTTCTTGGAGGCATGAAGTATCGAGACTTAGAAAAGAGAAAAGATACCGCGATAAGCTTTCCAGCATTTTCTGGTCTCTTTCCTACTTGAATTGCAGCAGCTGCTGCAGCGCCGGAAGAAATCCCCACCTGGTATGAAAATTGCAAAATTAAATAACAGTATAATCGGCGGGTTCATAGAAGTCGGGATACTAACATATGCATGATTGTAAATTAGGAAGATGAAATCATTTGTAAGCATCAAAAAAGTATAAATGTGTCGATCTTGATGTTTTAAACGCAACACTTGACATAAAATCATAAACAGCCAAGCTTGTCGCAGCATCAAACAAGAACCAAAGTAAAAACTCTCAATATCAAGTAACTTATCGCCAGAAATGAGTCGGCAAGTTACTAATTAAAGGAAATCTTAAGTACACTACCCACATAGATAAGGCTCCTAGTTACCACCCTCTAACCGGAACTAGTTCGAAATAAATAAAGTAAAATTATTCGTAACTTTCCTGTGGTTTTGAAATTCAATGTACAATCTATCTGTACTTTAAAACTGTATGACGTCCCCTCATATTTTAAAAATTGTTGTATGAAACACCACCGCCATAAAACTTCCCTTGTGTGATATTTTTGCATGACATGCAATTTTTTAAAATAAAGTGAGGATTTACACTGAGTTTCAAAACTACATAGAGTTTCATGCGACCTTCTTAAAGTATAAATGGACACCATGCAATTTTTAAAGTAAAAGGGATATTCACATCGAATTTCGAAACAACAAAGAAGTTATGGACAATTTTGCCAATAAATAATATTCAAGAGGTTAATTGTTCAAATATATGGGATTTATTTATTTTTGTCACATAAGGAAAATTTCAGCATCAGTAAACACTACAAAATTGCAAATTGAGTTAATAAAACATAAAGTAAAAATTTGTGCTAACCAGTAAACCCTCTTGAAGTGCTAGTTGCTTCGCAGTTTCCACAGCTACATCGCTCGAGATCTAACAAGTAATAAGAAAGGACATCCACTCAGCAAGAAGTTATCGAACTTACAAGTTAACACACGAGCCAAAGTACTAAAAGGATCAATACCGTGTTCAAAGATGCCGACGGGAGTATGAAATTAGTGTCGGGAAATGATTAGTACTCTCTAGTCTAAACCATTACAATAGCTACTCAGTTTTAATTGGATCTGAGTGTGGACCTTAATTTTGTTTAATCTGTATATCTAAAGATGGAATTAGTTTGTCGATCCAAAAGTTCAGCAAGGCTACGCAGATCTTTCAACATTTCATGTTAAAGTTGGAAGTATAAGTTCCTATGAACTCCAAAGTGAATAAATAGCTATCATAAACTTGATAAAGCTACACAGAGCGCTAAGGTAGACGTAGTACCTCTATAACTTCATCCATCACATCTTGATCTAAATTCTTTGGAATAAAACCTGCCCCAATTCCTTGAATTTTGTGAGGGCCTGCAGTTTCAAATTGAAAATACGAGAACCCACAAATTTAAGCTTGAAACTAGCGCAGCAAATCCATTCATGGGACCAACTTACCAGGTTTTCCACCAGATAGTATGTTGCTCTCAGTCGGTTCCACGCCAATAACCTATTATATCAGATACAAACGCATAATTTACAATAGGAGATATAAGAAGTACATTGAAATATAAGTATATACATCTTTATTAGAAGCTTGCAAATCTATTCCATCTACAACTAATTAGCATCAAGTATACAACTGCCGAACAACTGCTTTTGGATAGAATGCATTAGAGAAAATTTATTACCTTAATTTTAGGGTTATTTTCTTTGAGATAACGACCAACACCTGAGATGGTTCCACCAGTACCAATCCCAGCAACAAGTATGTCTACCTTGCCTTTAGTATCTTCCCAAATCTCGGGTCCGGTAGTTTCATAGTGAATCTGCAGAAAGACATATATGGTATTACAGTTTCCAGACTCCATTTGCGGATCATATGTTTACACTACTAGAAGTATAATAGAAGTATAGAAATAGAAAAAAAACTTCAGAAATCTGCAATAGCAAGATTATACAGAAAGATGAACTTATGAAATCTGCCATCTGCGGTCAGATTATGTTGGCCATTGATTGGAAAAGTAGACATCCAAAGAACTATACTTTTTTCTTTATCGACCAACAAAAAACAAAGTTTCTAAAAGCAAGGACCTTGGGATTTGCAGGATTGTCGAATTGTTGGAGCATGTAAGAATTTGGGGTTTTCTTCAATATTTCTTCAGCTTTTGAAACAGCTCCTTTCATGCCTTTGGCTGCATCGGTCAAAACTAGCTCAGCTCCAAATGCTTTCAAAAGAACCCTTCTCTCAAGACTCATGGAAGCGGGCATTGTCAAGATGAGCCTGTAGCCTTTTGAAGCAGCTATAAATGCAAGACCAATTCCCGTATTTCCACTGGTCGGTTCAACCAAGACGCTCTACTAAAAAGTAAAATTTCCAAGTAAGAATAACATATATTGCAACAATCCCAGAACAAAAGTAAAAAACACAACGTTCGAAAAGAACATCCGAGTCAAGAAACATACTTATTGCAGATATCTTACCTTTCCAGGAGTTATAAGCCCTTTCTCTTCAGCATCAGCAATCATACTGTACCCTATCCTGAAAACAAACACAACAAAACATGAGGCTGCAGTGCAATCACACAACGAAAACTTTGTAATGTGCGATTTTGCAATATTGAAACATAAACACCAGATAAAAATTAACGAGCATCACAATTTTGCTCAGCAATGAACAAATTTCTCCACAGTATATGAAAATTTGTCGATAAAAAGCAGCAGCAGTTGTACCTATCTTTGACACTGCTGCATGGCTCCATAATCTCAAGCTTCGCAGCAATATTTGCAACGCAACCTTTAACAATGTTGTTCAAGTAAACCATTGGTGTCTTCCCGATAAGCTGTTGATGGAAGCAGTAGCATATACCAAACAACATGTTAAAAGTGGAACATCAGCAGACTAATAAATAAAGCAAAAGCAAAAAATCCACCAAGAAATCACTAATTATAAAACAAGATGTCTACATCTTATATCTAAAAATCATCATTCTGCTCAAAGATATCAGCTTGGAGGACAACAGTACATTAATTCCTCATTCTTTTCATGAACCAGGACAATTAAATTAAAATGGCTGCCGAAAATCTTCCCATCTTTGAATTGGCAACAAGTTTTCCTTCAACATTTAACAAAGGACAGACCGTTTCAATTTTAACCCTTGGAGTCACATACACTTAGTTGTCCATCGGCCAAAATAGCAAAGAGAATTGAAGTAAAATGCGATAAAATTGTGCTTCTTAAAGTTAAACCCCCAAAAACTTCAACTGAATTACACAATAAAGAGAAGAAATATGCATTTTTGGTCCAGTATTAATAAATGCATATTTGAGATTCAAGATCCATTCACAATCTACTGATTGGGCAAAAACTACAACTTAGTCAGATGGAAAAAGACAAAAACAAAAACAACAGAGAGAATTAAAAAATTAATTAACAAAAATAATAATGATAGACCAAGGGTGTGATCTTTCTTTTGTGTTTAAAAAACACAGCCAAAAAGAACTGGTGCAAATTATAATACTAAGAGAAAAGTTTCTAGACCAAATTTCTCCAAATAATAAATTGTTCTAACATTATATTCCAAAATATATCAAAATTAGGAGCGAATAGTGCAAAATAATAACAAAGTACTAAAGATTTCTTGACCAAAAAGAACAAAAACAAAATTGAACAAGCTAGACGCCTTCTTTTTTCACCTTCTTTCGGAATTAGCACATATATTTATCATGAATCCAAACAAATATTGAATAAAAAGGCAATTAAACTTCAAATTTGATCCAAAACCTCATCTTATATGGCAAAATTGAACCTGCGAAAAAGTGTTCAAGCTGATAACTATTTCAGTAATCCTTTTCACATCATTCAACCGAATTATTTCTACATAATGTCACCATTTCCATATCTAGAGTAACCCTAACATACCCCAAACCCAAACAGAATATTCTTAAAGCAAAAAAGGTAGGAAAAAACAGAAAACAAAGCAACGCAGTCTCACCTGAGTAACATCTTCAGCGATGTTAAGGCCTTCAATCTCCGTCTGCGGTTCAACAGAAACCGCTTTGCACACAATCCGATGGACATCGCATCTATTTTGGCCAGTAACAGCGGCGTCGATAGTAAGGCTTACAGTGTTAGCATACTTTCTGGCTCCGATGCGGCAGCCCTTGGCGAGGAAGAGCTCCGGCGAGCGCAGATCCGAATTGTGAGGGGCGCAGAGAGAGTTCAAAGGATTGTTGGGCAGTGAAAAAGTCATGGCTGGATGGCTGGATGGCTGCCTGCGCTCAGTCACTCACTCTCTATATCGTATCGTATCGTCTCGCAGTCGCAGGTAGGGAAGGGAAGTTTGTCCTGTTCGACTGCAGATGATTAATAAGTAACCGCTTGGCTGGCGATACGACGTCGTTGAGGAGAAGTGATGTTCAACACTTTTGAATGGGCTTGCAGTTGCAGGGCAGCTATATGAATGAGCCCGTTTCTTACCTCTGAGCATTTATGAATTATGATTGGTCTGTATTTATTTGTTTTCACTCATTACCGTCTCTTATTTATTCTACTATATTACTTTTTTTTTAGTTTTTGTATTACAAAAATTAATTTAAAAAATTTTGTTTGGGGTTTTTCCTAAAATATACTATTCATTCAATTTTTTTCTTCAAAAAAAATATCAAATCAAATACTTAATTTTTATTTTTATATTATATTAAAAATCAATTTTATATTCAAAACATCATATTAACAATTATTTATATCACATCATACAACTATTTAAATTCAAAATTTTTACTGTTCAAATCTCAACTCAAAATCAAAACTTCCAAACAAACACACCCTTACATAAATAATTTTCATTTGCTCTGGGTGTGTTTGTTTGGGAGTTTGGATTTTGAATTAGAATTTGAATAGTAAAAATTTTGAATTTGAAATAGTTATATGATGTGATATAACTAGGTGTTGATATGATGTTTTGAATGTAAAATTGATTTTTAGTATAATATAAAAAATAAGTGTTTAATTTGATATTTTTTTAAAAAAAAAATTGAAATGAATAGTAAATTTAAAATCCAATCTCCAAACAAACACACCCTTATAATCGTCTATGTCTATGCCTCTTTTCTCTTCGCGGTTCAAAGTCAAGTAGGAAAATAGAATCTTTCAACAAAATGAACGAACAAGATCAATAGATAACCAAAAAAAAAAAAAAAAATTATTTGTCATCATTTCAATTTCAAACAATCTCTAAAAAAAATAATAAATACAATTAAATTATAAATAAAATAAAATAAAAATGGAGTTTCAAATACATCATGCTCAATAACATCGATTGTTTTCATAATTTTTTAAAATCTAAAAAATAGTCAAACTATGAATCTGTTTGTTTAGTACATAGAATTGACAACAAGTGTTTGTTTAAATAAAAAAATAGAAATTGAGAAATAATAAATCATTTTTATTGATTGGCATACAATGAATAATATATGTTAGCGATCATTTTTGTATCAAAATATCTAAATTACTATTAATTAAAATAAATTAATATCTCGTTAAGTTAAATTATCCATTGATTGACATACAATGAAATTTATAAAATTTTATAATTTTTATTGTGAGCATGCACATAAAAGTTTGCAGTAATGATTAAAATGAAAATATATATATATATATTCATTGTTGTATAGAAATACCCACAATATTATTGTTAATTAAATAAATTAACATTATGTTCAGTTGAATTTAGTATTTACGTGTGCATGAAGAATATTTCATACTATATTATAGAATCCGATATAAAACTCTATTTTTTTAAAATGTGTGACAATATTTTATTATTCAATAGACATAATATTGTTTGACATTTTTCAATTACTAATAAAATTTTGATTCATTGATTGACATACGATGAATTTACAAAATCAAATGATGCTAATAATTTCTATTGTAAGTATATCGATAATAGGAGTTTGTAGTTAGAATTAGGATGCAGAAAAAATTCAAAATTTATTTTTTATATAAAAATACTCATATTACTGTTAATTAAAATAAAATAGCATTATGTTTTATTATTTTTAACATTTGCGGATGCATAAGGATCATTTATATTATATTATTCAACGCGATATTAATTTTCGACATAAACTTTCCCACTACTTTTCGGATCATCATCACCACTCTTCTTCTGCCACCGCCACCGCCCTCCATTTAATCATCGTATACTACTAGAACAACAATCCGTCATCCACCGTCATGTCACTCAACACCAACAATCTGTCATCCACCAGTCACTTTTTATCCATCAATTAAGCTCACATACTCTCTCGGAAAATGAAAATCACCGCTAATAAGGCGGCATAAATAAATAAATGTTGATGTAATATTTTGAATATAAAAATATTTTTTTTAGCATAGTATATAAAATAAAAAATAGATATTTAATTTGATTTTTTAAAAATAAAAAATAAATTAGATGAACAGTGAATAAATTAGGGAGAAAATCCCTCAAACAAACACACCCTAAGGGGTGTGTTTGTTTGAGGGTTTGGATTTTGAGTTGGGATTTGAATAGTAAAAATTTTGAATTTGAATAGTTGTATGATGTGATATAAATAGGTATTGATGTGATGTTTTGAATGTAAAATTGATTTTTAATATAATATAAAAAATAAAAAATAGGTGTTTGATTTGATGTTTTTGGGAGAAAATTTTTGGATAAATAGTAGGATTTTATCTAAATCCTACAAACGAACACACCCTAATGTACACCATCTATGTCGTATCTAACCCAATTGAGGGCTGAAATTGAATAAATACCTTGCTGATGAGTGTGCCCAGCAGTAGGGAATCCACCGATTATTTTTTTTTTTTATATTGAAATATTATGTTTTACTATTTTAATATAAATACAAAAAAATATATTTATTGCTTGAAAAAATTTCTGTTTAATTAAATATGCACAAAATATGTCTAAAATTACAAAATATTACTCCTCCGTCTATATAAAAAATAAATAAATAAATACTTATTTTTGGCACAGTATTTTAAAAATAATATTTCATCCGTTCCATAAATATAGTTTTAATTAGGTTGGATACGAGATTTAAGAAATAATGTGTAATAAAAATAAAAAAGTAAGAGTAATTTTATGGTGATATGGTTATTTATGAAAACAAAACTATTGTTTTGAGACAGACAAAAATGGTAAACGAGATTATTGTATTGGGACGGAAGGAGTAATATTTTAATTATAATTAGTAGTTAAAAATAGTATAATAACATTTGTCCATAGCTTTTTGATGTAAAAGCAATTATATGATGTAAAGTGAATTACTTGTATAAAAAAAACGAGGTATTTAATTAAATGTCCTAAAATAGAAATATGTATACTTTCTAACTGAACGATGAACTACTAAATAAAAAATTAATCAAATATTTATTTACTCATTTTATTTAATTAAAGTTATTTAAGATATTTTATATATTTTATTTGTATAAAATTTTGTATAATTAGTACGTTGAATTTAACACAATAATTTTACTCAATATAAACATAATATTTTTATTGAATTGTTACATTTTGTTAGGTGATAAAATATATATTACTCATCCATCTCACATAAAATGTCTAGAATTCAAAATGATAATTAGTAAATAATTAAAAAATATATTAATATATAATATAAATAATTATAAATTAAAATTAAGATAATTAAATAATTTAATAAAATTATAAATGATGAAATTTAAAATACGATTAAAATATATAATTATTTTTTTAAAAAATGAAAACTATGTAGGAGTAACCTAAATGAAAATAGTAGATACTTTATATGGACGGATGAAATATATATATATTGTTTTACTTTTTGTTTATTGTATTTTCTATTATTATTTGTAGAGAATCATTTCAATTAGAAAAATAATTGAACAAGCCCATAATTAATAAAAAAAAAATAGTCAAAATCAATTATACAGTAAAAATATTAAAATTAACTTTCAAAAGAATATAGTTAGATAGTTAAAACATTGATCTGAATTATTAAGAAAAAAAAATAATATTTTAGTATGTTTTCAAATAATAAAATATTTTATTTTTTCATAAATATTTAAAAAATATAATAAAAAATTAATAATTCAATAAAAAATATATTTTTTTATTATCAATATAATTCTTAATATCTAAGTAAAATCACAAAATGAAAACACCATATTTCTCCGATATTAATAAAAAAAAAAAAAAATTAAGGATGTGTCTATTGTTTACTGTTGAAAAGAATATTTAACAGTAATATAAAACAAAATTGCATTTTTTATTATTTATAGTGTTATTTTTAAAATAAATAAGGGTTGATTAAATAAGAAAGAATGTTTACCGTAGCGGTAACCATTCGGATTTTCGGTTCGGATTTTGCCAAATTCGAATATCTGAAAATCGAAAATTTTTGAAAAAATCAATCCGAACCGAACCGAAATCCGTAATCCGAACTAAAAAATCCGAACCAAATCGAAATATCCGAAATTCTAAATATTATTATTAATTTTTTTTATTTTTAAATTTCTTTTATATTTTATTATTACTTTATAAAATATTAAATATATATATAATATATAAAAATTAAATATATTAAAATATAATTAATAAATTTGAGTTTTTTATATTAAAATATAATATTTTCTAATAAAATATTAAATATATATAATAAAAAATATATTAAAATGTTATATTTCGGATTTCGGATTGGTTCGGATTTTAAGTATACCGATTCGATTTGAAAATACGAAATTTGTTAAAAATTCAATTCGATCCAATCTAAAAATCCAAAAAATCCGAACCAAATTTTAAATTTCGATTTAATTTGGATTGAATTTTCGAATTTCGAATATTTTGCTCCCCTAGTTTAATCGTGAGAGTTTTTAAACAACAACAACAATAATAATAAATTGAATAATAAAAAAAAAACAAGTAAAACATGTATATACGAGTACTGGATCCGACCCGGTCAAAGTATCCATTAAGCCGAATTGGCGGTAAAAGGCAAAGTTTGACTGCTTCGAAGCACATTCTGGAAAATGGCTTCAACTGCCGTCGCCCACTTCCCTCTCTCCGGCATCACTCTCACTCTCACTCCGCCCTATAAATATCTCTCCGATCAAACCTACACATGCACTTACAGCTACAGCTACAGCTGATCCATTAATCATTCTCAGTTATTCCGATGGCCAGTATCAGCACTCTTCTGCTTTCCCTCCTCCTCATCGGTTCCATGGCGGCCGCCGCCGCCGAGGCCTCCGGCTTCCAGTTCGAAGTAGCGTGGAGAAAACCGACGGGGATGGAGTCCGAAACCTACAACGATTGGGCGGCGAGGAACCGCTTCCGCATCGGAGATTCCATTCGTAAGTCGTTTACCTATTGAATGTTAATTTGAATTAATTTTGAGGTGCTTATATATATATATATATGTGGTTTGGATTTCAGAGTTCAAGTACCAAAACGACAGCGTTTTGGAGGTGAGTCCGGCGGATTACCGCCGGTGCGAATCGTCCAATCCGATCTCGGAATCGGACGACGGAGGGACGGTGATGAAATTTGAACGGTCAGGATTGTTCTATTTCATCAGCGGGAATTCCGACCACTGTCAATGGGGGCAGCGCCTGATCGTTCGGGTGATGCACCTTTCCGAGGAGGAGATTGCCGCGCCGGCTCCGGCGCCGGCGACTCACGGCGGGATGGACTCCGGCGAGAAGGGGACGCCGGCGGCCAATTCGACGGCGAAGATCTCTGTGGTTTCGTACTTGGTTACTGCCTTTATTGGGCTGTTTGTCGTATTCTATATTTTCATGTAGTCAGTCAGTATTGCTTATTAGTTTTTGTTTAGGGTTTATATTAAGATTATTTCGAGTTAGGATATTTTTATTGATTTTGATTATTGTAGTTTGTTAGGATCATTGTATTCCATTATTTATTGATTGGTTATTGTTATTCTAATATTTTATTTTAGTGGAAATTTTAAAAATAAATAGCTGCACAATTTGTACCCTTGATAAAGGGTAAGTTCTTTTTTTGTTATTCTTTTTATTTTCATAAAGAACATAATAAAGCGTAAAAGTACCCTTCATTTGATCAAACAAACAACACAGAAAGAAGCAACCATAAAAGACATCTAAACACAAACACAAACTCAAAACATCTACCAAACAAAGACACACACAGATTCACACAACAACGTAAACCAACAGTACAAAAATAACATTTACCAGAAAATACTCCCCAAAGATCGATCCCATCCTAAATCTCGCCAAGAAAAATCTGCTTGTCGCTGCTGCCCGACCCGATTATCGGCTCGTGGGGATGAAAAACGCATTCGTTCACCGACCCCGTATGTCCCGGGAGCTTATACAGTATCCGCCTCGAGGTCGTGTCCCATATATGAACCATCCCGTCGCTGCTGCCGGCAGTCACTTTACTCCCGTCCGGCGACCAGCTACACCTCAACAAATTCTTCTCGAAGTTGTGCTGATGACCTTCTAGAATCTTCACGCAGCGATTCTGCGGGGCGTACGGTCTCATATCCCATATTCGAAGACTGCAGTCCATGCTATTGGTCAAGAGGTAAGACCCGTCGGGGCTGAGCTGCATCCCGGTGATCATATCGTGATGGCCTTGGAGTTTCATCACGGGATCGGTCCTTCTTAAATCCCACACTTTGATGTCGTTGTCGATGCCGCCGGTGTAAATTTTGTCCGATGCGTCGGAGAAGCTGACTGCCGTGATTTGGTATTTGTCGGGAAAGCTCTGTACGGAGGCCCTCTGCCGCATGTCCCAAAGTTTTGCGGTTCCGTCGTCGGAGCCACTAACGATGAGGGGCGGACCACGCCTGGCGGGGCAGCAAGAATTTACGACGAAAAGGTGCCCGACCATTTTCTTGATCTGTTTCCCCATTTCGACGTCCCATGCTCTTAGGGTTTTGTCGGGGCTTGCTGATATTATGTGGGTACCGTCGGTGTTCCACTGAATGTCTAGAACGGCATTCTTGTGCCCTCTTAGGACCATGAAGTTCTTGCAATCGCCGTGCACGTTCCACAGAAAGATATCCCTGTCGTGCGAGCTGGACGCAATTACGTTTCCCGTAGGGTTGAATTTCAGCGAGTAGATTGCGCTTTGATGCCCTGTAAGTAACATGATTGGTGCTTCTAAGCTTGATGTCCTCTGTTTTCCATTTGTGCCCGGCATTGGAGGGCCGAAGCTCTGTACATTTGTTGACAGCTCCGTTGGCCTCGGACCAATAACGGATAGAGCACTTTCAACTTGCATTTTGACTTCTCCTTTGCCTGTACTAGAAGAAAGAAGGGATTAGAAGATTATATCCTTACCGATTTCCGGCCAGCGTAATGAAAATAATAAGTGAACCAAACAAGGCATAAAATCCATTCAACAACAAAGTTACACCATATTTCTTCATGGGTTTTGTAAAACAAATTTCAGTTAAAATTTTACACCACTATCATGCATCTGCGGAGAATGGAAAAATGGTGTGCATACGGAATTCGATCTACAACAAAACAACCATTTATACAATCACAATAAGACACAGACATTTAAATGTGTATATGCAAATATCCTAATTTGTATATGTTCAGCCACCCGAATGTCATTTCCTTTACCAACGACAATCAAGAAAACCACTTCCTACACCACCAATACCAACATATAAGAGCATTATATAATGTTCCGAAGAATCATAAGGTCGGCATGGTACAAAACATTCCACATGGTGGGCTCAAGGGTGTAATTAACTTAAAATTTTAGTGAGTTCCTTCTAAAGAACCCTTGTTATTTCAGTAAAGATAAATAGTTACAATTTGTGTAGTCGGGCGCTAGGCGATTATATAGCACCTTCTCCGCTAAAGTAGCCTTCTTATAAACTTATGCAACTCTATTTCATAAACAAGTGGTAATAAAAATTTCAATGCCAGTGTATGCATTTTTTTATGCTTATTTAGAACACATAATACTCCAAAAGCTAAATATCATAGCCATAAGTGTACCAAAATTTATAAATTTTCCCTTCAAAAACAAAGAAGAACGACACAATAGATTCTATAAGCATTCCACCCAACAATCAAACACATAGTGGTATAATCCACACAATAAATAAATAAATAAAAATAAACAAATTAAGAGCTCGGCGTCAAATCATTCAAGTTTCAACAGCTCAAAACAAACCAAACTACACATCACATAAATCAAAACACAAACAAAATACCAGGAGCTATAAATCGCCAGAATAACTAATTCACATTCTGTCACGAAAGATACACAGCGAATCCACAGGAAACTCACATTTTCGTACGAAAACCAGAAATTAACGACGTTTAAACATTTCATAAAACGATCACTTACTAACAAAGAAATAACGGCTGAGTTGAGAATAATCCAAAACTAGCTCAAACGAAACACTGCCAGATAATGATGATCACCGACGGAGATATTTGCCAAGATTAGGAGCTCTCTGTAAAACCCTAGATTGGGATTTCTAGTGAAGAATCGAGAGCGCTGTTCGAGAAAATGGAGGAATGGAAGAACAGAATCTATAATGGGCTGGGCTCTATTTTATAAATTGGGCCTTCGGCCCAATTATTTGGAAGAAAGGGCATTTTCGTAATTGCATTGTCCTGCAATTCCGCCTCTAGGTTTTAGATATAAAAGCCTCCGCCGAACATTTTTCTTCTGCGACGCAGCTCAACTCTCGACTCAACAATGGTAAGCGCCTAGCTGAAGCCTTTTATTTTCTCTTCACGTGTCTGCATTTTCTATTTCAGATCGTTAGTTTTTTGCGTGATGTTGTGCAATTTGAATGCAAATCGTTTATAAATTTTACTTGCGCGCAAGCAGTCTATGAATTTCATATGGTTAGAACATGGGAAGTGAACTTGTTCTTAATAACTGCGGTTTTATAGAATGTTTAGATTAGTATAGTTGCTGTTGAAGATCTCTGACTTTCTTTTAGCTATTTTTGGATTGAGAGTGAGAATGTATGAGCTTTGGAATTGCAATTTTAGTTTTAACTTCCTTTTTTTGACAATTGGTCTTGGAGTTTCGCTAGCACATTATTTCTTGCGGATCTTATCTGTAAAATAAGAAGTTTCAGGAAATCATCTATGCTTTTTGTATCTCAAAATTTTTCGATTTGTGTTGCCTATGATATGATTATCCGTTATCATGGTTCAGTGCAATTATGAATGTTAAAAATTGCAATTACAGGGTTTTGTCAAAGAACAAAAGTCAAAGGCTTATTTCAAGAGGTTTCAGGTCAAATTTAAGAGAAGAAGAGGTACAGAATTCCCTGAATTTCAATGTAGCCTCCAATTTGATTAATCGATTAATGTGTTTAATAAGGTGCTTAATTAGCTGCTCTTGCTAATATTGTGTTTCGATTATCCAGAGGGGAAGACTGATTACAGAGCTAGAATTCGCTTAATCAACCAGGACAAGAACAAGTACAATACTCCCAAGTATCGATTTGTTGTGCGATTTGTATCCTTCAAAGTTATTGGCTTAGAGCTAAATGGCATTTATTTAATGTTCCATGGTGTAGTTCTCTAAATTATGACAAGGCTAATCCCCTCATTTATTTGAACTTTGGTTTCTATTGAAAATGATATGATGATTTTAAATAATGTAATGTGAAAAGTTAGCCTTGATCATATTTATAGACAAACAAAGATATAATTGCGCAAGTCGTATCTGCTACCATTACTGGAGATGTGATTCTGGCTGCAGCTTATGCTCATGAGTTGCCTCATTATGGACTTAAAATCGGTCTCACAAATTATGCTGCAGGTACATCTTTCCACCAAAAATTCACTTTGAAGTTTGAATGATGTGTATTGTGTAACATGTATGCTCCTTTGTATTCAATTTTCATTGAAAGAGTTGATATTCTTTGTGTTGGTAAGGTTATAATCCTGTGAATAATCTTTTAATCAGCCTACTGCACCGGGCTGCTTCTGGCTCGCCGTGTCCTGAAAAAACTTGAAATGGATGATGAATACCAAGGCAATCCGGAGGTATATGAGATTTGTGATGCTCTGTAGTCATTTCTTACTGATGGGAATTCTGCTGCACGAATTTATCGAAGATTTTATGACATCAGGCTACTGGAGAGGATTACTCTGTTGAGCCAGCAGAGAGCCGAAGACCATTCCGTGCATTACTTGATGTTGGCCTTGTTAGAACAACTACTGGAAACCGAGTATTTGGTGCCCTGAAGGTAATCCGTTTGTTACTACATTTTACTGTAGGAAGCTAATGCTTATCTGGGCTATAGTCGAGATCTCTATGCAGCTATTATTCTGAGGTGTCGGAAAACACTAATTTACCTCTGTAAATCTATTTCTTTTCAACTGATTACAGGGCGCATTAGATGGTGGATTGGATGTTCCTCACAACGAGAAGAGGTTTGCCGGATTCTCTAAGGATTCTAAACAGCTTGATGCCGAGGTTCACAGAAAGTACATTTACGGTGGCCACATCTCTTCATATATGACGGTATATCCCCTACTCACTAACTATAACATTTTTCTTACCAAATATTAAATGATTCTCACCTATTTCTCAAACTTTTCAGTCACTGATCGAAGATGAGCCAGAAAAGTACCAATCACATTTCAGCCAATACGTCAAGGAAGGGGTCGAGGCAGATGACCTCGAGGAACTGTACAAGAAAGTTCACGCGGCAATCCGTGCCGACCCAACTGCCAAGAAATCTGATAAGCCACAGCCTAAGCAACACAAGAGGTGAGAAAGCAGTCTACATCTCAACTTTTCAACAATTCCTATTTGTCGATTGTAGATACTCACAAACATCTTTCTCCAGGTACAACTTGAAGAAGCTCACGTACGAGGAGAGGAAGGCAAAACTGATCGAACGCCTCAATGCCCTCAATTCTGCTGCTGGCCCCGGCGCCGATAACGATGATGATGATGAAGACGACGAGTAAGGCAACTAGACGCCGCACCATCTGCTTCAACTGCAGTTCTATCCAAGAACATGATAAATTTTCCCAATTTTCGTGAGTTTCTTTTCCATTTTTGTAGCTTTGAACCCCGACCGGAATATTCGAGCTGTTTGTTCCATCTTTTTATTGCATACACTCTTAAAATGTACGTTTTTAATCAAACCCTTTGTTTGTGGGCAACACAGAGAAGAACCCTTTAAGAGGGTCCACATAATTTAGACCTTATCAAGTGTGAACCAATGAGAATTTCCAGCAAAGGATGTAAAATGCAAACCCTATCCACAAAACCAGGCCATTTTCTTGCCACTTTAAACTTGTCAATTCACATGAAACAAGATCTCAAAAATTGCACAGAAATAATGATGTCTTCCCATATAGCCCCTTTCACTACAACCCATCATCATCCATTGGCAAAGCCATTGCCAATTTCAAGAACAGCAGCAACTCATTTGTCCTTAAATGGACTGCATTTGCACAAGGTCTTTGCTTGCTCATCATCTTCCTCTAATGAAGAAATACAAGTCCAAAGGAGGTATGTATGTATCTATGTTTGTGTGTGTGTTATCAAATGGCAACAAAAATTGCATTCGGGAGTTGACTAATCTGGTCCCGGTTCGTTATATACATGTGTTCATCTACTGTTTTCTAAATCCACACCTTAAAAGAGGTGTTGTGTCATTGCAGGAGTGTAGCATTGGGGTTGGGTGGCTTGGTGTTGGGGTTGCAAGTTGGTGGCGGCAATGCGAGTGCCGCTAGGCGACCACCGCCGCCGCCACAACAGGAGAAAAAGGATCCAAATGTGAGTGGTGTGACAGCAAAGGTTCTAGCCAGCAAGAAGAGGAAGGAAGCCATGAAAGAAAGCATAGCTAAATTGAGAGAAAAAGGGAAGCCTATTAAAGAATCCATTCAAGAGCCAGAATCATCACAATGAGGCTGTAATTTTTTTATTATTATTATTTTTTTTTTTCTAATGTCAAGTAAGTAAAGGCTACACAGCCTATTTTGGACTGTTTTCAGTAATTACTGAATTCAGATGAAGAAAATGTTAACAAATAATGTAAAGAATCTTGTTACATTCAGAAAATGGTTATTTTTGAATGTATGTTTTCACTAGCACATATTATGTTCATTAAGGTATGAATGCAAGTAGCAATTAAGGGTTGGCTAAGGTGCTTGAATTGAGAAAATTTCGGCATATAATCACATAATATCCTAATGATAGAAAATTTATATAATCTATATACGAAACTTACTAGTTAGTCTATCACTATAATCGTCATTGTCCATAAACTATTATGTCGCTTGAGATCTGCTCAATTGTAAGTCACATAATCTTTTATTGTTAGTCACAAATTCTATTCCATAAATATGTGATCACCTATAATTGCAAAAGTAGATCATATGTGCTCACACTTTCTTGAATGGTAAAAGAACATATAATTTAGGTCATATATGTGAATGAATATTATTGACACTAGAGAATGGAAGGAAAAAAGGTAAATAAAATCATGATCAAGTCGACATTATTTTCCAGAAGTAAGAACAACCAAACTTGAGGGCCCAAAACATGTAAATTAAGCTAACCCATCGAACTCTAATTCTCACAATCAATGAAAGATGCTAAGAAGAAGAAAAAAACAGACGAGCAGTTATGTTAGTAATAGGACTTACTGATGAACTATGCTCCTAGTAGTGCAGTACACCCAACCGATGGCTCCAGTTTTATCAGGTAGCTTGCACCTCACAAAGCCAAGCAAACAAATCATAAAGACAACCTGCATCCATATGGCTCCTAGAAGACGAGAAGACACAGAGATCCAAGTTAAGTATACCTCACAAAAAAGAGATTTAGTCATCATCTTCCTCAAAACTACATACTGAAATCAAGGGGGTTGGTTATACGGAAGGTTATTTGCAATGCTTATGAATACATCCAGCTTCACATGTGCCAAAATGGAATAGCAGCAATCTGAGTCATTAAGAAATAATAATATGTTGTACAATGTTGCAGGGTAGAAAATTCGAAAACATGTGCTCAACAAAATATCAGGTCTTCACATTCCCAAAGAATCTGGAAAGTGGTAGAGGTCCACCGGCCTCTTCACTTTCACTGCTAGAGAGCTTAGATCTCGAGCCATGCTTCTTTTCTTTCTTTCTTCTTCTCAACTTTGACTTTGATGATCTTCTTGATTCCCGCTCATCATCATCACTGCTTGAAGTTTCTGATGATGAACTTGAACTGGATTCTGAGGATCGCCTTGATCGCTGAAAATGAAATTATATCCTTTGAAGTTAAAATTCAAAGTAGTTTTGTATCTAAGATGAGGAGCTGAAATTCATCTTTCCACGCTTGAATACCATTTCACACACAGAGAGGCATACCAATAAACATATTCATGTAGCAAGATCACACTTCTGGGAAAAAAAAAAAAAAAAATATAAGAACTAATGACAACATTTAAAAATAACAAAAAGTTCTGATGGAACTGTCTACGGAAGCAAGGAAATGATAGCAACACCTCTATGGAATAACAGTTTCAATACACAATTTACAGTATTGATGAAACTAGAAACAGAACTACTGGTGGGAAAATAGACAGTATCACTCCAAGCACATGCACCTTATTTAATCTTTTCTCCTGGGGTGTATAATCCCTTTGCAGACCTATATAATCGAACAGTCCAATCAGGATGGACCATATATACCTACAACTAAACCAGAACTAGAGACCACCCACATATTTGATCAGCCAATACTTTTTCTTTGCCCCTCTATCCTTCTTATGTAGGTCCCCTGAGATGCAACAAGTATAAAAAATGTACTATGGATCTTTTCCTAACAATGCAGAGGATATTATCTGCTCATTCACAGAGAAGAGAAGTGATATTCTTAAATGCAACAGCCTTCCCTTGATCTACAAACATTGACTCATTTCACGGGTAGGGAAGAAGCCATTTTTGTGTCCATGTGCATCTTATATTTTTGGATTGGAAAAACAATAGCAGAAACTAGGAATAAGATGCAGCAATAAACTTAAGCTGTTGCCTATGGATGCTAAAGATTAAGGAGACAAAATTACATGGTGGGTAAGAGAAGTTGAGATATGAATTCCATGCTGTGGAGTGTGGATTGACTTTTGAAAGAAAATGATAAAACTTGAGTTGAATAAAGAAATAAGAAAAAAAGAGGGCAGATACTTGCTTACTGGGAGAAGCGACGAAATCAGTTTCAGCTTTCTTACCTCAGGTAATGAAATCTATCCAATCTTCAACCATAACAATTGACACTACAATTATATCATTTATGAAGAGAGCCAAACAAGAAAATTTATTGCAAGCAGCACAGGATAGGTCAAGTAGCCATTGAAGCAATTTCAGAGTGCAAGAATTAACTAAATTTTTGGTTGTTTAGTTGCCGAATATGGCATTTCTAGTTGATCAATATGTTTGGTTGTTCAACTAGCTGAGGGATGTACTATATGTCAAAGATTTTCCCCCTTTTCCATATAAGGCTCAAAAGAAGGAAGCTATACAAAAAAAATATCAGGTTCCAGGCTGCAAGGTAGTATTTCCTCTACATGGCATACAGGGTCATCATTGTTCGAATATACTTACCTTCCAAAAGCTTTTCCATGCAACCTGACAATCAAGCGTTTAACATGTTCGCAGAAGAAATTTGGCAGCAACAAGTGCATATGCAAAGATAAATCAAGGGCTACATAGTGGCCCAAATCAACTTTTCACACATTCTATTCTATATAGATTAATACGGAGAAATATATATATATATATGCATCTTTAATAATTTAGTCACATAACACAACTGCATGACATATGAATGACAATTCATAGGGAAATGATTGTGCACCTTTCTCTTCTTGCTGCTATGTTTCTTCGAGTCTTTCTCTTTTCTATCTGCATTGAAAATAAACATGACATAAAAAGCATGATCATTAAAATAATTGTTAAAATCCTGATTAATCCAATTCCGTACCCTTTTTCCGTTTGGATTTTCTGCTTGAGTGATTCTTCCCCTGAGCAAGTTTACGTGCCCTTTCAGCATCTAACTGAGCTCTATACTCTCTCATCATTCTATCTTTATCTGCTTCCAATTCTCCCTTTCTGATTTCTTCTTCCTAACAAAAATAACATTAGAATCTGATCTGATTCGACAAATACAAGCAAGTCTTAATAGAATAATGACTATACCAACAATTATTTGAAAAAAATTTCCAGCAAGATACCAAGGAAACTTAGAACATTAAACACCATAATCATAGTGTAATGCATTCCAAAAGAAGCTAAGGAGGAGGGTGTGGCTTTACACTACAAAAAAATAATATATTTATAACAAAATTCCGTCCCTAAAGTTCCCGTAGTTAACGTAATTCCGTTCCTAATTCCGTCTCTAATGTCATTAGTAACGGAAAAAGTAGATTTAGAGACAAAAATTTTGTTACAAAAATAATTTTTTCTTGTAGTGTTAGCTGTAGGGTTATTACAATTTTTGTTATAATCCTTTGTACCAGTACAACATAGTAATAATGTTAGAGGTTTTTGAGGCCTAATCAAGATGCACGACATCCGGGAACATCAAAGCCTTAAATACACCATGAATTTTCACACCTAGCCTTGATTTGAGTTTTCAAGGTTGGATAAGGATCATTTTATATTAGTTCTAGGTAGATAGCTGATCAGCAGTCACTAAAATTTAGAAGCATTGGCACAACCGGTTAGTTACACTTGTGATTACATCATTTAATAGTTCCTCCAACCACAAACAACTGTAGGACTTGTAAGTACATAACATAAAATATTAGCCGAAAAGAATAAAGTGAAGGCAAAACAAATTCCAAAAGCTATATAGAGTCATAACTGACCTTCTGCTTCTTTTTGAACTCCTCCCATGTAACTGTATGAGAAGTCCTGAGACTTGCCAAACGAGCAGCATGCCATTCTGGAGAATGAAATGAACCATCCACCTGTGACTCTCCTCATCAGAAGAAGCCAATCCATATGTGCAAAATGTAAAAGAAAACATATAGGTCTAAAAGTCTTGCACCATAAGCAAGTAAACTACCTTCATTAACTAAGTACAGGACTTTGTATAAAACTCCTAATAAACCCCGCCATCATCAAGAATCATTTATTTGAGTTAACTCTCATACCCATATGCTTTAACAGAGAAGCTGAGGCTTAAACTTTTAATGCCAATTATTAGTGTAGCACCACTCCGTAAATTCTTATGTGTTAACTGGTCTGCCATGGTGCCAACATCTGGCTTCTATCTGAGCATGATGTACTCATTTTTAGGTCTCTACTAACTGCAAATATCAGCCTATTCTCAAAATACTTCTCCACAAAAAAACAGATTCCATGTACACTGTCTGCTTCAATTCAATTTAACATAAATTATTTCTTTTAACTTAATTTTCAGAAATTGGGTATTCAGAATTCTCATAGCCCCCCATTAAGGCTCACAGGCCTCATCACTCAGAGCTTTGAAAGTTCATTTACAAATGAATCCGACAACTAAATGATTCTACCCCAATCCACCCAATTGACCCAACAAATCATTTCACCAAGAAATCAGAACATCGCACTTTAAATAAAAGTAACAGAAAGAACCCTAGTTTCCAATCCTGGAGTGACAGGTAAAGAAGGGAAACCATAACTTCACACTCCATGGACGCTAATTAAGAGAGCACATAAATAACTGCTGGGCGGACTACATCTGAGCATCAAATCTAGAACAACAAATAACTTCCAACTATGTCTTCCCAAAATCATAACAAACCCATCCGATTTCAATTGAATCTCCTCCTAACGTAAACATCAGCAAAACACACCAAAATGAACTGCACCTTTATATAAAATATACATATATACAGAAGATTAAAACAAAAAAAAAAAAGAATTAATAAACAGAAAACGATACTAGAGTTCTAGAGATTCAATACAGCGAGCACATTAGCTAGAGCTGTAATCACAGCCTGTTAAAATTGAAAAACCATTGTTGAACTCCAGTATGAAAGGGTACGAACCATTCCATCCTCAACCTCTTCCGGCGCCGCTGAGCTGGAGCCGAGCCGAGCTCTCTGCATCGCTTTGTACGCTTGATTTTTCCCCATTAGAACTAACCTAAAAATTCTCAAAACAATAATACTCTAGCGAGATTCAGGCAGAGCAGGAAAAGATCAAATCGAATCCAGAATGCATCGGAAAGTGAGAAATTTATTGTTGGCGAAGGAATGGAATTGGGGAGGAGGAGGATTGAATCGTGCTAGACAATTTGAGAGCACTTCCATGATTATATGTGGATATGAAGGGAATTAATTGATGATACTGACTGAAAATCACCCCCCAAACGGTGTCGTTTTAACCTAAGCTATATATATATATTAATGAAATTAAAATTTTAATTTTTCTTTTTTTTTAAAAAAAATTAGTAAAAATTTTCGAAAAGTGTTTTATGTAATACTGGTGTGAGAGAAAAAAAAATTTATTTTCTGATTTTCAAAAACTATCTAAATAAAAAAAAAATGGGTGGAAACTTATAAGCAAACACAACCTTACGATTTTATTTTATTTTATTTTTTAACTATATTCGTTAAATTTTTACTTCATTATTAATTTAAAAAAAAATTAATAAATCAATATTTAACTATTATTTTTTATCCAACATTTATTTTTGCGTGACTATCTTTATTACATTTTCTCTTTAGTACTCATATCACCCCGATGAAAATGAGAATGAATTTTTTCAATGTAAAAGGATTGCCCTTAAAATATAATATTTTTGTTTTACTTATCTCTTTTAATATGTATTTATAACTTTTGCATCACCAAGAAATTTTCTATCAAAATGATCATTTAAAATAAACATTTGTTCATTTGATCTATAATTTTCAGAATTTGACCAATCAACAATATGTCATCAACATAGATCAAAAGAAGTACAGATATGTTACCAAAAATCTTAAAATATAAACAATAATCATATTCACTTCTTTTAAAATTTAAAGATTTTATGCACCCATCAAACTTTAAATTCTATTGTTCTAGCTATTGTTTGAAATCATTAAGAGTTTTTTTTGTAAAAAAAATATACAAAATAAAAACTGGTTTTTATCAGCAAAATTCTAGTGTTATTTCATGTAAATATGTGCCCCCAAAACACCATATAGAAGTATTGTTTTCACATTAAATTGTTTAAGTTTCTAATCAGAATGAGTTATTAAAGTAAGAATAACATAAACAATAAAAGAATTTTACAATAAAAAAATATTTTATTATAATCAATGTTTTTTTTTAAACCTTTTGCCGTTAATCTTGTTCTAAACCTTTGACATTTTGTTCATCCTCATTTTTAACATTAAACAATCATTTACAATAAATAATAGAACAATATTCAGGATTTCGGATTAATTCCAAAGTTTTATTTACTTTTAAAAAATTCATTTCATCTTGCATTGTTTGAAATCATTTGTTTCTATGGTTTGATCTTACAACTTCACTGAAAGTCTTAAGTTTATTGTCATCAAAAGTATTAAACATATTCAATGCATATGAAAATTAAATCATAATCATCTATTAGAAGATGACTTAATATTCCTTCTTGGTATTTCATTACACACGAACTGACACTAAATTCACACAAATTCGAACAACTTGGTTCAGAACTAAATATCACATTCAAACTTGTTTCGTAAGAATGACCTGATGGTGTGGGGGTTGGACTTGTAACCATTTTCTATAGGTGTCAGTTGACCGTCGACTGCTACACAATTGTTTTTCGGGTTGCTCTTCATCTAGAAGAGTATATTTTTTGTGTAAATATGAGCCATAATAGTTTGTGTTTTCACTGTGATCTTGTGTTATATTTTCAAATTCCAATAGAAGTGTGTATTTAGTTCTTTTGCTTATTTTTTATTTCATATTTCGATCCTAAACTTTACAAAAGAAAATAAATATTCCAATAATATTTTTATCGTAATTTTCACTCTACAAACTCTCTCTTATTCGAATTATCGTCTCACAATGTGCATTTCTCATTTTTTATACATTCAATTGAATTCTCTATTCAATAAAATATAATACTCCCTCCGTCCAGTTAGAAAATATACATAGTTCTATTTCGGGACGTTCAATTACAAAGTAACCATTTCAATTAAATACTTATTTTTTCCACAAATACCTCTATTTTACATTACATTGTTACTTTTTTATAGTAAATATATACTTTTTGCTTGGACGGAGAGAGTACTATTTGGGCTTGGTCCGTTAAATCATGCAACTCATATTCTTTCTCCTATTACCTAATTTTGTTTGTAATTTGACTATCTCTTCTACATGATTCTAAAGGTGTGTTTGTTTGGAAGACTTCCCCGGATATTCACTATTTACTAATTTTATTTTTTTTCGAAAATATCAAATCAAATATATATATATATATTTTTATATTATACTAAATATCAATTTTACATTCAAAATATAACATCAACAGTCATTTACATCGTACCATTATTTCAATTCAATTTTTTTACTATTCAAATCCCAGTTCAAAATCCAAATCCCCAAACAAAAACACCCTATGTGTGTGTTCTATTTATTTTTTAAAAATCATAATAATAAAAAATAAAAAATCAACATACTCTAAAATCGATCTAATAAAATCATTATTCTTCATCGCTGATCTTTCATTACAACATAATATAGAAGATCTAAATCCAAGTATTGTACATGTCTCTTTTGCATTGTACATTCATTACATTAAACTACATTAATCTTGGCATACATATATCCTTGATTTTTCACTTCACAATTAAGGCCATGTAAAACTCAGCCCACAATGTATGCATATTCATTCATTCATTCGATTCCCTTTCGGCTTCGGCTCAAACCCTCGACTAATAAAAATCATACCTTTTATGCGACGCCCGCAGCAGCCGCTGCGCGTTCCGGGCTGCTGCCACTTTGCTCACCAGTATCCGCCACTTGGCCTCGTCTTTCTTGCTCTGTTGCTGCATCTTCACCTTGAAATGCCTGAAAACATTCGCCGCCAACGGATGAGTTGACTATCATATATCACTACAAAAAATTAATGTATTTGTAACGGAATTCCGTTCCTAAAGTTCACGTAGCTAACGTAATTTCATTCATCTTTCCGTCTCTAATGTCATTAGTAACGGAAAAAATAAATTTAGAGACAAAAAAATCTTGTTACAAAAATGATTTTTTCTTGTAGTGTATCTCATTGATCCGCAAAGAATAGATATATTTACTAATAATTATAGTATAAGGATGTATTTGCTATGCATTACTATAACCAGGGATTAAGTAAAACCGGGTATAATAATACTATAGTAAAAGTTTGCTAATCTCCTTTCTTTTATAGGTAGTATTAAATAATACTAAGGTATAAAAAAACTATTTTATCTATCGTTAATAATTAACTTATTATTAATTTTATCGTATAATTAAAAGTATTTTAGGCCAAATTAATAATTTTATACACCAATTCATTACAGTAGACATTGAATTATTTTAGCATATGATTATATAATCTATTAAAATAATACATGTATTATAATCATATTCTACAAAGTAAACGCACTCTAAATATATAAAGACTAAAATACAAATTACAAAGGTCTATGCATACTATAATACTAAACAATGTGTATTGAAAAAAGACATTCGGGTATAAATATGTAAAGACTAAAATTCAATACCAAATGCCTATATATTTTTTTTTTAAAAAAAAATTATATTGAAAAAGGTATTCGAGTATTTTTATGTGAAGCAATGTTGTAAATGTCTATATCTACTAAAGAATAATAGACATGTGTTGTTTGTTCATAATTACATGTGTGTTGTATAAGAGTATATTATGCCCTAAAATCAATTGTGCGTTGTACGTAACTATAACATTTTTTGTTAGTTTATGCTCGGTATTTGTATTATACTAACATATAAAATATGTTGTCTGTAATATTAAATAATATTGTGTGCTGCCAGACAACACACAATGTACTTTTCAACACAGTGTTAGAATTTTGTATTTTATTAATACTACGAGATCCTAGCTTACTAAATAAAAAAAACATATATTGCATTATAAACATATACTAAATAGCAAAATGAGTCTATTATAAGCGCTTACCGGCAAAGAGGGACTTTGCAACAGTCGGGGTCGTGGCACATACGAGAGTGAAGCTCGAGAAGTTGCCACATTCGTTTGCAATGGACGCACCCGCCGGGTACTCGGGTCTTGCAGCTCGAGAAATGGCGGATCAGTGTCTCGAGACCCTTGCAGGCCGGGAAAATGCAAGTCCCCTGGCTGCCTTTCAACGCTTTGTCACGGGGCCCGATTGTTCGACACCCGTCTCTGCAGATGTGAAGCAGAGCCTCCATCGCCTCGTGGAGTTGGAGGTACACCTTTTTCTCTTCGATTTTCTTTACTCGCTCTTCTTTTCTCTACGCGATTAATTCAGGCAAGTCATATCTTTAGGGCTGTTGAATTACAAATAGAGTCGTAAAACTAACAACTTGTACGACCAGAAAAAATAAAAATAAATAAAAGCTCGTTCTCTAAGCTAAACGATAATAGCTTTAATGTAAAAGCTCGGATTTTTAAGCTAACAAGAAAAAGTTACAGATTTTTTTTTTTTTTTTAAATTAAAAAGAGTAAATTATATAACACTTTCTTTGTTTTGTTTTAATAAAAATACACAGAACACTGGCTGTTAATTTAAAGAAAATCCTTTTTGTCAAAAGCTGATGTTTGATTCCAAATAAAGAGACTCAAATTAAGCAAGTTTTATGCAAATAAAAGACGTAATATCTTAAATAATTTTTTTTGAATAAAATAAATAAATAATTGATCAATCAATTATTTATCTTTATAGTTTTTGTAAAAATAAGATAACAATTTGTCTCTAAAAACTATAAAACACAAGATTAATCAATTATTTATTTATTTTATTTTATTAAAAAATTTATTTAAGATATTTTATTTCTTTTATTTATATAAAATTTGCATTATTGAGTTCATATTTACAATCAAATACTTCCTCTGTCCCAAATAAGGTGCAACATTTATTTGGCACGAGTTTCTAGATGGGTAGTATTAAGTAGGATAATTTATAAATTAGGTAATGTGATGGAGAGAGAAATATATATTTTGTTTTTTTATTCTGATGATGTAAGGGAATAAAGTGTGGGGTAGAGATTAAGTATAATTAATTATTTCTTATTTTGGAAATGTTGCAGTGTTTGGGACATATCAAAAAGAAAATGTTGCAGGGTGTTTGGGACGGAGGGAGTAAGGATGAAAAGAGTGTTTCTGCAAACTTTACATTGACACGAAAATTTCTCACGCAATAAATAAAATACGAGGTGTTTTATGCATTTTTACTAAAACAAAATGGGGTGCTATATAATTTATCCAATTAAAAAAGTGGATAAGAAGCTCACCGATTCGGCCTCGACAACCGACTCCAATAGCTCTTGCTCGATCGCAGGATTGGCGAGCCTCATCACTTTCCATGCTTCGGTGGCGGCAACGGTTTTGAAGTCTCTAACAACCATACGAAGACAAAAGAGAGCGAGTCGGGGCGCGTCGCAGCTTCTCGCCAGCTGCAAAACATCGACGACGTTTTCCTTATTCAACCAACCGTGCTCCAGAAAATGCTCGCAGATTCTTTTAAGAGACGGGACGGCGTAGGAATGCGATAAAACGAGTAGATGAAGGACAAACTTCTTCATATCCTCGTCGTCATATCTGCAAAACAATTCCAAATGATTCCAAACAAGCCACAAAATAATAAACCAAAATTGTCCATAATTTTCATGTAATTTATAAATTTAGCGTAAATCTTTCAGGTATTTTGAAAATTGCATGACGCCCCAGAAATCTCCGCAATGCAAAAAATATAGATAGTAAATAGTCTTCACATTATATAAAAATATGAAAAGGAATTTCTTACAACGTTTTTTAAAACATAAGGAGGTACCATGCAATTTATAAAATATAAAAGGAAATTTATTTTGAGTTTCGAAACCATTGGAAAATTATGGATAATTTTGCCAAACAATAAAAACATCAAAAAAAATGTAAATATCGAGGGCGCGCCTTAGCCATACCGAGAAGAATAAAGGAAGCGGACGAAAGCAAAGAGGGCATCATACGGAACCCCGGGAATCCTCAAAACTCTCACGCCATTCTTACACTTTGTCTTATCTAAAAAACTCCCGACCACCGGCGACGCAACACTCTATAAAACAAGAACCAAATAAACACAAGCATAAGAACCCGAGCGAAAACTACTTCCCGACAAATATAATCAAGAATTGATCGAATACAAACCAGAATGCTACAATGAGCTGCGACAATCGACCCATTCTCGGCAATTATATGTACATCGGCTCCATATCCTTCATTGAAAAGCTTATCCCACAAATCCCTCGTTTCTTTGGGAACTCGGCATTGCTTAGCTAATGGCCTAATCGAACTTTTCCCCGGCAATGGAGGAGGTTTCGGAATATTGACAATACAAGAACCAAAACACTTCGAAGAATCTGATGAATTCCCTTCTTCTTCTATATGTATATCCAACGGCTGATCTAATGCATCCGCAATGGACGGCCATGATATTTCGACAGCCACAGTGCCCATTAGCTAAGAGTTTCTTAACCTCAGAAACTGAAATTTTTTTATTTCAATAATAAGAATTCGAATATATTTATCGTTGTGTACAAAGGATTTAAATAAATAAGAATCTGCAAATCTCTTATCAAATGAACACAAAATTCAGCATTACACAAATCAATATATGCAAATGAAGAACAGTAAATCCAACAGGGAAGAAATCAGAATCCATTAAACACAGAATTGGAATTTCTTGAGGATAAGCCTAAGAATTCTTCCATTTGAAGTTTCTTCAGGAAACTTTGCTTCCAATGGAGTTTGGCTAATTGCATTAGAAGCAGAGACAATTCAGGTATATATACAAATAGATACAATTATATATGTATATATATATATATATCTTCAATGGAAAGGAAGGTATGCAATATGCATACACCGATTCAGAGAAGTAAATTTTTGTTCGATACAGTAACAAATTCTGCAATTCAGAACATAATCAAAGCTACAAAGTACAATTCCGCCATGAATGTTTTTTAAAGCTTTTTTCAGAGTGATCTATTCGACGAAAAAAAAAAAAATTGAATCCGCAAGACGATCAGTTGAAATCAAAGAGCAAAACTAATTCTAATCGGAAACTGATCGAATTTTTTCCAAATAAATAAACAAGTCGGAGCTCACCTGCAACGGTAGCGTGTGCGCCTTATCTTCGGAACCGGAAATTAATTAGAACCAACAAATAAGGGTAAAGTATGGCGTTCCCTAAAAAATATTGGGGGCAGAATTCATGTGAATATGGGTTGGGGGGTAGTGGGGCGGCGGAGGGGGTGGGGGTGGGGGACTGGCAGTGCAGTGGTGCGGTCGTGTTGTTGCTTTTGAGACAGTGACGTGGAGTTCTGTTGTTGTGGTATCGTCTGCGACTGCAATTGGCAATGGTGACGAGGATGATGGGTGTGATGGATGACAGATTTTGCTCTCCAGATTCGGATTGGGGGTTTGGTGGAATTAATTGTGGCTTCCAAATTCAGGTTGTATGAATTGTAATAATTGCTGTTTGATTTTCCGCCATGGATGCTTTTGATTGGAGGTCGAGCGAGCTATTTCGCGGGTCCGGGTCGGGTATTTTATGGGGTCGGGCATTTGGTGTTTTTTTTTTTATCGGAGTCGGGGATTTGGTATTGGGAATATGGGATGTGTTTTGGGCTCAATTTACATAAAGATATTTTGGAATATTTTGTAATTTTAAAAATAATCGAGTCAGCATCCCATTTAAAAATTGTCATTTTTTATTTTAGTTCGTTCTAAATAAAGTTATTATTTTCTAATTTAATATAATAAATATTTTTTTAACTTATAATATATTACACAAATGTCATTATTTTTATATTACACAATATTAACGGGACATTTTTTTCTTTTTCACTATAATCCATTATAATACTAATATTAAAGAAATCTACGAGTAAAAAGTAAACGACAACCTTGCACCGGGACGAAGGGAGTAAAAAATTATATTTAATCTAATATTTTTTAAAAAGAATTTATATATTTAACTTAATGTTTTTAAAAATATTAAAATAGTACTACATCCATTCCATAAATATAGTCTTAATTGGGTTGAGTAAGGAATATTAATATTATATTGGTAGTTGGTAAAAAGTATGGATAAAAGATTTTTGCTCTTGTGAGTGTATTAGTGTAAAAAGTAGTGGCAATTGTGTAATAAAAATGAAAAAGTATGAGTAGTTTTACGGTGATATGGTTATTTATGAAAAAAAAACTATTGTTTTGAGACAGACAAAAATGGTAAACAAGACTATTGTATTGGGACGGAGTGAGTATCAATCATCCAAAATATTGTCTAAAAAAAAACTCTTTTGGACAGTTACAAAATAATATTTTCTCGTCCAGTCAACTTTAGCTGAGACGTGTATTAATAAAAATAACTATGAGTAATAAAAATAATTATAAATTAAAATTAAAATAATTATATAATTTAATTAAAATAAAAAAAATTACGAATTATAAATTTAAAATATAAATAAAATAAATAATTATATTTCGAAAAAAAAAAAAAAAATTGAATGAACCAAAATAGAAGAAGTGTGAGATGTTTTTGCCCATAAAGAAGTGTTCTACGGTTTTTTAATTAATATTACAAAATAAATAAATTGATAATAAGAGTAGTATTTAGTAGGAGAATCGCATTATACTAATGGAGTATTTGTTTATTTATTTATTGGCTGAATAGATTGAGACTTGAAAAGATTGATGGGCTTGAATGGCCGGTTTTGGACGTACATACCGGCCCATGGGCCCACATTTATGAACCACGTGTCTTAAACCAATAAGAAACTGACACGTGTATGCACGGGCACACTCCTCCGTCGGGTTTTTTTTTTTTTTTTTCTTACGTGAAAACCGCATAGGCTAGCCATGAGCTTTGGGAGGAATAGTATATTTGGTACGTGAAAATATAGATATAAAAAAAAAAAAAAAAAAAAAAAAACTTATTTTTTTATTTGATTGAAATAAAAAAATTAAAATTAAAGAATAAATTATTTTTTAATTTATTTTTATGTGTAAAAAATGATGAGAAATAAAATTAAGAAAATATGATATGTTTACTACTCCCTCCGTCCCAGATACCTGCTACAATGTAGACACGGTATTTTAGTAAGGGTGTAATTAGTAGATAACTAAGAATGTATTAGTGAAAATAATTATTCTATAATATAAATAATTATAAATTAAGATTAAGATAACTAATTAGTTTAATTAAAATTAAAAGAAAAATAAAATTAAAAAATTTAAAATGAGATTAAAGTGTGTAATCATTTTCCAAAAAATGAAAGTGACATGGAATATGGAACGGACAGAAACTGCAACGTGGACATGGTATCTGGGACGGAGGGAGTATTTTTTTTTCAATTTATATTTTACAATTTAATTTATATTTATTTACTATTTTTTCTATTATTTTAATTTTTTAAATTATTATTTCAATATCATAAAATATCACATCTAAATTGTTATTAAAATAAATTATCAAATTAAAAAAATAATCAAATAAATACAATAATATTACTCTTATCCAATTTATTACCCTCTTCGTCATCCGTCTCTAATGTTTCATTTACTTTTTACGTCATTATGATTAACCTTAAAATTATTCTTATATTTGTATAATTTTTTGTGCAAATTTCTTTATATTAGTATTACAAAACACTAATTAAAGTATTTTTGCAATATTTTTTTTATTTGTATTATATTTTGATATTATAATTAATATTCAAAAATCAACCTGCAAAAAATAAATGAGACGCTCGGAGTCGAACGGACATAGTATTTTTTAGTAATCAATTCATTTTTTTCCCACTAGCAATATATCATCATCTCTTTATACACAGATCATTGTATTTTTTTTATATATATTTTTCTAAGCTTATTCACTATTTTATCAAATAAAAAAATTAATTTTTATTGTCTATTTAATTTATTTTGGGTATGTTTTTTTTTTGGTAAAATTTTCTCAATTCTAACTATTTGAACTCTGTATTTTTCGAAAAAATTTTTTTTTTTCTCTCACAAAACATCCCATCAAATATTATTTTTATATCAAAATCAAACTATTTTTTTTCCAAACTAATTTTCATTCTACTGTCATTATATTGCTATATTACACATATTATTTTCTCTATAAATAAATTCAGAAATTATGAATTACAGTACTTTTATTAATTAATTGCATTTATATTTTAGGGGCAAAATTATTGATAAGTCGGTTGTAGTTTGAAAATTTTGCATAATATAATTTAAAAACTATATAAAATCCTCTCGCTATTTAAAAAATATTGCACAAAATTCATTTTGGAGTTTATGTACCAAATTTTTGAAAATAAAAAAAAATAAAAAAAAAAAAAATTTACAATTGTTTGAAAATTTTGTATAATATTTTTCAAAACATTAGAAAGTCATGTTATAGATTTTTTAAATCACAAATAATTTATAAATAATTGTCATATTTTAGGAAATAAACATCTTAACCACATTACTTAACTACATGCACTTAGTAATTTAAACTGAAACATTATATAATTATATTGTTGTTGTAATAAGAATATATTTATCAATTAAGAAAAATATAATATAGTTCCGTAAAAAATGATTTGATAGTATAGAGATGAAAACGCGATCGTAAAGTTATAATTTCAAACTCAATGTTTCTAGGTCTTGCAAGAATAACGGTCACCTTCTTAAAAAAATAATAATAACATAACGTAATGAATATATAAATTTTGAGAAATAATTAATTATTGATATCTTCACATTTTCATTAATTTTTTCTTAATTAAAATAACATTAAATCAGTTTTTCTCAATCAATATAAGTTATACGATTAAATTTTATATCGATCGGACAATATAAAATAATCTGGCATTATGCTGAATCCGTCATATCGATCGGACAATATAAAATAATATGGCATTATGCTGAATCCGTTATAGGATCAACAGAAAACCTCTGTCCATCAGTAAACTTCTTATTTGAATTTTTTTGCAGGATTAAGATAAATTAATATTTTATAAATATATAGCGTAATAAAGTAATATAATGTCCATTTTATCCTTAAAAAATAATACTCTTTAGTCTCATCGAAAGGTTGTCATTTTTCATTTTCGTCCGTCCTAAAACAAAGTTTTCATTTTCTAATTTAGTAATTGTACTACCTACCTAACATAATAAATATATTATACAAATATCGTTAATTTTATATTACACAATACTAGTAAAGGTATTCTTATCTTCTTTTATTAAAATTCAATATAATATTAATATTAACAAATATACATATAAAAAAGTAAATGATAATCTTTCATTGGACATGGGAGTTTAAAAAAATAGTAAAAAAATATGAATGATTTAGTATTTAGTTAATATTTCTTTTTCGTAAAAAATAAAAGAGTTTTAATTTATTCCGACAAAATATAGACGAAACAAGTACTATCAAATATTAGCAAACAAAAATTAAGGTCATTTATAAATACAACAAGATGAAATTGGTGTGTTTGTTTGGGGGTTTGGATTTTGAGTTGGGATTTGAATAGTAAAAATTTTGAATTTGAATAGTTGTATGATGTGATATAAATAGGGTTTGATGTGATGTTTTGAATGTAAAATTAATTTTTAGTATAATATAAAAAATGAAAAATAGGTATTTGATTTGATGTTTTTGGGGGAAAAAAATTGGATGAATAGTGAAAATCCACCAAAATCCTTCAAACAAACACACCCATAATTTTAACAAATAAACTTAAGGTCATTTATAAATACAACAAGATGAAATTGATATTCAATTTACTTGGTTTATTTTAACAAATAAACTTTTAACGAGCTTAAACAAGCCAGACTCGCATATAACTCGTTTATGTTTCCGCTCTTTCATAGTCGCAACATTCATTAAAATTTCAGAAAAATACCAGAGTCGAAACTCAAATTAAAATAGATCAGAAAATGAAATCAAAGAGGCACCCAAATTACGATTTCTATAAGGAGAGGAGAGGGGAGAGAATCTCGACAAAATATACAATGCTCGCTCGCAATTTACGACGTATTTATAACATGAAATTGTCAAAGAACATCTCCAAGTTTTTTTTTTTTTGCAATCACCACATTATTTAGATCGATAGGGCATAGTATACAATGCCGTCAAGGCTCTTCGTGTTTCTTGGTGTTTCTTGGCATTATTGATCGAATCATCCGTGTCAATACACTTCTCAACAATTTCTACGACACCAACAATCCGCAACTCCCGGCCTCTATAATTATCCGTCCTTTACACTCAACATATCATTCGTAGCGATATCTCTTTTATTTCCTGCATAAAGAATCGATAAAGAAAGAACTCCAAGCGCATCTATCAAACGATCATGTAACATTTAGCGACAAATGTCATGCTTGAACATTTCAAATAATGATTATAATTCAAATTTTTTATTATTCCAAAACAGACCAAAATTACCAAAACATGGCCAAACAAACCAATATTGTTTTATACTTCATCTCTACGTTCGATTCTTTTCAAAAAAAAGCTACAGAAATGGTTTTGAGCAAAATTTTTCATAAATGTGCGTCGCGATTGGGATTCGATACAATTTAAGAATGGTTTTGTATTTGTCTAAAAGCTCAAAATTGGCTCCAAACCAAAGTTAGCACTTTTCAACCCGCAATAAAAGTATATTATTTTCTCTCACAAAACATTACCGTAAAATACTATTTAAACACTACAAAAAAAATAGTATATTTGTAACGGAATTCCGTTCCTAAAGTTCACATAGCTAACGTAATTTCATCTCTAATTCCGTCTCTAATATCATTAGTAACGGAAAAAGTAGATTTAACAACGAAAAAATTTTGTTACAAAATTGATATTTTTTTGTAGTGAAATTAAAATTCAGATAAAAAAATCAATCTCGGATCAAAACCAAACACACCCTATGTATTCTTATAACGCGCAGTCATGAAATCAAAGTTTAGAACGAGCACGTACCAAGGGAGTCTGAATGTCTCTTTCCACCATCCGTGTTTAGAACAGTTCATCACGACTTTATCCAACCGTACAATGATCTCGGAAAATGTTGGCCTCATATCCCTGTTGGGATGCCAGCATTCCTCGATCAGCCTGGAAAATACACGCCCGTTAACTCTGTCTATTTCTTGAGTAAGAAGAAACTTCAAAACCATCGAAAGAATTGCAAGAATGTCTAAAGAATCTGAGGAATAGGCGATGTACAAAATTTACGGTGTAAACAATGCGATGTGGTTCCTAAAATCATCGATTTATTAAGAAAACAAATTGCTACTCACTCTTTCACTTCAGGAGGAAATGATTTGGATTTTGACTTGAACGGTGGTCTCTTCCCGTCCAAACACATTAACTTTGCCGCTTCATAGGGAGGCTTGGACGAAAACGGTGGCGACCCCTCCACCATCTGAGCGTCCGAAACATAATTAAAAGTTCATAAAAAAGTGGGAAAATAATCGGAAAAAAATAAAAAAGAAAAGAAAAGAAAAGATACCTCATACAGCATGACACCAAAGGAATGTACGTCGGCACTTCTGTCGAATACTTCATCCCGATAAATTTCAGGAGCCAAGTAGACACCTACACGCGGCAAGGAAGAAAAAACAAACATATAATCATACAGGATGAATTTCTATGCATTATTTCTTTCTTTTTTTTTCCATAAAAAACTACGAAGACTCACTTGTACGGTCTACGGCATTAGTATGAGCTAATTTTGCTCTATCCGGGGAAATTGTCGAAAATTCAATTACACCGAACCCTGATACCTTCAGCTGCCCTCCGAAATCCAGCAAAATATTTCTGGCACCTTACCCGAATTGCAAATATTAGAAACAAGGTACCGAATGATATATAGCGCAGAGATCTGAGGTACTAACTCAAACATTTAATTGCCTTACTTTGGCTTTAGGTCGCAATGTATAATCGACTCGGGCTTGCATTCGTGAAGATAATTCATGCCCCTGTATCGACGAAAGTATTATCAAATTTACAGCATCCGGCATCGGGGCTATAATTTTAGAGAATAAATAATAGCTCGATCATCGCATAGATAATAGGATTTAGATAATTATATTACCGAGCAATGTCCAGGGCAAATCTTAATGCTTTAGATGGAGATAGCCGGCCTTTCTTCTGAAGATAGGTCCCTAGATCGGCCTGAGTATTTAATAGCACAAGGTAAGCTATACGAAAGATACACACATATATATATATATATATTGATGGGGAGCATTTTATTACTTTTGACTGATACTCGAGCACGATCATCATCGGTACATTTTGGGTGACGGCGCCGATGAATTGAACTATATTGGGATGTCGAACCTTTTCTAACAAGGTTAACTCATGCCTGAACAGATTTCTGCAGCGTAAAAACATAGGAACACATCATAAAAATCGAAAACATAGTTTATATCTGCGCCGACATAAATTCAAAAAAAAAAAAAAAAAAAAAAGAGATAAACATAGGCAAGTGAAAAGTCGATGTGCATACATGGAGTCCGGATCGGCATGGCTGTTCTTATCAAGTATTTTCACCGACACTTTCGTGCCATTCCATTTCGCAACTTGATATGAGCCCTATACACAAATGCGACATCCATAATTCAGAAAGATCGCATATTTTTCATTTAAAACATTAAGTATAAAATCTATTGTTTTATTCAAAACATCAATTCAAACACTTATTTATACAGCATCAACCAATGTTCCAATTTAAAATTTTATTATTTCGGAAACAAACAATACACAACCTTAGCTATGCCATCACTTCTTCGAATTTGAATGTCCAACGGATTGAGCTCGTACTCGGGAACCTCACGAGGATTTGCGACAGCCATTGGGGTTTTCCTTGTTTTCTAGAAACACATAAACAAAAACATCATCATTCACACCCGACCAACATCAAACAAAGAAGCTCCCCACAAAAATTCCATTCAATTACCGGAAGCTTCGCCCCGCGAGCCTTCAAAAGATTATAAACATCCATGTTTCCATAGTATTTGGCATCCGCGGCAGCCTGTCCACATATCCAGAATTCATTCCATTGAAGAACATTGATACTATCCATTGCATCAAAGTAAAGCAAATCAACAATTCTCAAAAACTAAGCGCCAATTCGATCAAATTCATGTCAAATTCACAGAATATATATGTCGAAAACTAAGCAACAATTCAATCAAATTCATATCGAATTTACGGAATACACACACACACACATATATATATATATAGAAAACTAAGCACCAATTCAATCAAATTCATGTCGAATACAGAGAATACATACGTATATATATATCAAAACTTAAGCACCGATTCAATTAAACTTTATGTCGAATCTACGGAATATATATATCTCGAATACTAAGCACCAATTCAATCACATTAATGTCGAATTTACAGAATATATATATCTCAAAAACGAAGCACCAATTCAATCAAACTTGTGTCGAATTACTGGAATATATATATATATAGGGAACTAAGCACCAATTCAATCAAACTTATATCTATATGTATGTATACATATCTATATATAGGAAACTAAGCACCAATTCAATCAAACTTATATCTATATGTATGTATATATAGGGAAGAGTTTTTACAGTGCTTCCCCATCGATCATGGGCGTCGATGTTGGCCTTTCGAGCGAGCAGAAGCTGGACGACGTCGGCGTGACCCTCGCAGGACGCCACGTGTAACGCCGTCCTGCCGTCGAGATCAATGCTGTTGACGTCGACGCCGTCGTCGAGCAAGTCGCTCACGCCGTCCACGTCCCCCTTGCACGCCATGAACAGCAGCTGCATTGTGGAATCCAGATTCTGCGGCACGCCGACCCCATCGTTGGCGATGTCGTCCGGCACCGGATTCCTCCGGATAGGGTCCAGCGACGACTGCCTCCCGAAACTAAATCGGAAGTTGTTCCGCCTCGGGTCCAGCGAGTTCTGCCGCCCGAAGCTGAACTTCCCGCTCTTCCGCAGCGACCCCGTCGAGAACTGCCGGGAGATCCCCCGCTTCAATTGCGCCGCAATGTCCATCCCCACGCCGGTCGGCCGGAAAACAAAAAAATAAAGGGACGAATCCGAATCCGAAACCGAATCCGAATCCGAATCGAGAAGAAGTTAGTTACAGAACCAAAAACTCAAACGGAATTAGACCTCAATTTCGCCCAATCGAACGCCGAATCCTCCCAATAAACAACATCCGGTTGATAATTTCAACCAGGGTCTCCAGAGCTACAATCAATTCATAAACACAAATTTCTCAGGGAATAATGGAGATCGAAAGCAAACAATCAATCCTCAAAAAAATCTGTTCCCCGACAGGAAGGTTAGAATAATTCCGGCGGGCGGGCGGGCGGTTGCGGCAGAAAGCCCACAAAGGGGGAAAGGGAAAACGCGGAAGGTGGGGAATGAAAAGGGGAAGGATTTGGGGAATGGGAGGTGGAGCAGAAAAGCTGGAAAACGGTAGATTTGGGCGACGGTGCAGAATTGATTAGAATAGAACAGAATCTGGTATTCTCCACAAAAGGCGCTCGCTCGCTCTGCTCCGACTCTGCTCTGTTCAACGTCCTCAACTTGCTTACCGACATCTGAAATGCAAATAAATAAATAAATAAATAAGCGCAGCTCCACTTCCAGCGTGGAAGGAAGAAGATTATTACTGGGGGAGGGATCCCCTGTGCTCCTACACCCGGCCCCAGTGTATCAGTCCACTCCCTAGTAATAACACACTCCAGTCATTATTATTATAGAAAAAATCAACTTTAGCTTTAATATAATTAAAATTAATTAATTTTGATTTTAATATAAAAATTTTATTAATTTTAATCTCAATATACTATTTTCATCAGGTTATAAAGTTTCAATTATTTTTGCATATTGATGTTGAAATATTAATTATTATTATTCCATTTTAAAATTATAATCTTGGTTGCATTGAACACGAAATTTAAAAAATATTAATATTATACTAATAGTGGGTAAAAAGTATATGTAAAAGATTATTTTGCCCTTGTGAATGTATTAGTGTAAAAAATATTAGTATTATATTAATAGTGGGTAAAAAATATATGAATGTATTAGTGTAAAAAGTAGTGGCAATTGTGTAATAATAATAAAATAGTAAGGGTAGTTTTATAGTGATATGGTTATTTATGAAAATAAGACTATTATTTTGGGACGAACACAAATAATAAACAAGACTATTGGAACGGAGGAAATATATCAAAACGTATTACAAATTAAAAAAAAAAAAATTACGAAAATACTTTTATTAGTGTCTTGTAATATAAAAATAATTTTAATATTAAATATAATGACACAAAAATATATATGACCTCTTGTATTAATCAATGTTAATTTTACTGTTAAAAAAACTAATAAAAATACTGACATAAATATAACAGAACTAATGAGACATCCTATTAGGATCAACATAAGGGTGTTCCAAAATAATGTTGCCATATGCATTCAAAAATCAAATAACTCCAAAAACTACATAATATTAATATCAATCTAATTAATTTTTTTTTTTTCTATGCATTTTTCTTTTTTTAAAAAAAAAGTAATACGTAATATTTATATTTTATTAATAGAAGTATTATTTAGTCATTATGCAATTTTTATAAAATTATATTTCGTCCATACGATATTTATATCTATTTGATCATATACAAATTTTTTAGAAATGGGTAAAAAAAATTATAGTAAAAAAATAGAATTACTAAAAAAAGACAAGATTTCTTTTTTTTTTTTTTTAATTACAAAATAAAAAATGGGCAAAATTTTGAATAACATAAAAATATTGGCTTTCTCTACCCAATATTAATTTTCAATTGTAATTTCTAAAAAATAATAAAAAATAATACAAAATACCTTTATAAAAATCAAAAGAAAAAGTCAAATGCTCATTAGTAAAAAAAAAAATTCAACTAAAAATAATATATTTGTATTTTTTTACATAATTTTTTGTACCACACACTAAAAATCAATTTATTTAAATATGTCCGCATATGACGAATTTTCTTGTATAGGAAATATCTTAAAAAGATAAAAGAAAAGCGAATTAAAGCAACGGCTTTTTTATCTTTTGATTTTAATTTTTTTCATTATATTTACTATATAATTTTTAAATGCGAAATTTACAATTAATAGTAAAATTCAGGTCGATGTACAAACTTGATTTCATAATATGAAAATTTGATGAATTTCCTAAGTTATGCTAACTAGCAGCGACGAAACTATCATCTAAATTTCGAGGGGGCAAAATATTATAATTTATTTAATATTTAGCTAATAAATTTAAATAAATAATAATAACATAATTATATATTTTTTCTGTTTCATAACTAAATATTCAGTTGTTTTTTGCACGTAGTTTTAGAATTATTAGTATTGTATTAGAATACAGTAGAAAGAAAATATAAATAACTAAAATAACCTTATTAGTATCATATTGGCCCGTCTCTGCTAGTGAGTACAATCCCCGAAAAATAAAAGTGCAATAAATAAATAAACTTATGATTCCTAGATAAATTTCCAAAGCTTTTATGTGATTGAAAATGTCCAATTTTGCATGAAGATCGGGTGTTTATTGGCGTCTTATCAAATATTGTAGTGGGCGTTTTGGTGCATATAATATAATTGCAGAAAAATCAGAATAGAATTGCATAGACAAATAAAAATAGAGAATAGAATTGCACTGAATAAAGAATGAGAATTAATTCTTTTATTTGGTAAAATAGAGAATTAGTTGAGAAAGATACGAAAAAAATAGTTTTAACGTGAGAATTCATGAAAAAAATATATATACGATGAATTTTTTTGATGAATTTTTGAAAAATAAATTATAAATTATATACGATATTTTATAAAATTATATTTTAGTACATTTTTTTTTTTAAAAAAAGCATACAAATTAAATACTTAAATAATAAATTTAATGTGATATTTGTAAAATTAAAATAATATAATTTTAAAAAAAATATAAAAATTAAATAATACTTCTAAAAAAGATAAATAATAATAATAATAATAAAATAATACTCATTTATCTTCATTTCTGGATACGAATACGAGAGAGAAATGAAATAAAAGAAATAAAAATAATTTATTTCTAACCTTCTATTTTTCCTACTCAAACAAAAAAAAAAATGATGTCAAAATTCTTAAACCCCCCCTCCCCCCTTAATTGAAGTGAGAGTTGGACTTGTGACCATGAGATCATATGTTAAAACCACCTGTTGTCATAAGAAAAAAATAATGTATTTTCTATTTTTTAAAGCGCATGATTATTTATTTATATGACGTGAGAATCCGCAACCGCTAAACCACCGGCCGGATCGTTCAACCCCCATACCACCAGGTCATTCCTTTCCAGACAAAACCCATGATTATTGCTTGTTTGATTGATTGATTGAATTCAATCAATTTTAAATTATTGTTTTTTGTTCTTATCAAACAATTTAATACTATATTAAATTTTTTGGCCGTACTAAATTTATTTTTAAATAAAAATACATTTAGTCGATGGTGTGTTTGTTTGGGGAATTGGATTTCTAATCCACTGTTCAATCTCATTTTCCCCCCTCCCCACTCCCCCAAAAAAATTATCAAATCAAACATTTATTTTTTATTTTTTATATTATACTAAAAATCAACTTTACATTCAAAATATCATATCAACACCTATTTATATCACATCATACAACTATTCAAATTCAAAATTTTTTCTATTCAAAACCCAACTTAAAATCCAAACCCCCAAACAAACAACGTTCAATCAATAATATACAATAATTTATAAAATGAAAATATTAGTATTAAAAATTATCCCATTAATGCAACAATAAAATTGTAAAATTTCATTGGTATTGTGTAAAATTATTAATATTAATTTAATAAACTTTTGATCAATTTCAATGAAATTGAGAGTTTGTAATATATAAGTGGACACCCTTCAATTATTTGTAAATATAAAATTATTTGATATTAAAATCGAATCTAACAAATTACTTGAAATTATGAACTGTAATTGAAAGAAAAATTCGATGAATTGAAAATATTTGTAAATAGTTCGAACCGAATCAAAATTAAGGAAAAAAAAATATATATTAAAAATCATTTAAAATTCAATTAAGTAAAAAGATTTGCAAATATACAATATTTGTATTCAAATCAAATTTGTTCAGTTAATCAAAAATTTGGTTCGACTTAATTCGGTTAGACGGTTCGATTTAGTTCAGTTCGTTGGTTAGACGGTTCGATTCGATTCTTTTTGTAAACCTAGTAATCTATTCAGCAAGTCTATTTAATTTGAAAATTTTATTTTCTACTCTTTCCGTCCCAGCTAAATTGTCCTATTTAGCTTAGATACGAAGTTTTAGGCATTGTGTAATTAATAAGTAATTTAGAAGTATATTAGTAAAAATAATTATGATTTAATAAAAATAATTATAGATTAAGATAAGATGACTAAATAGTTTAATTAAAATGAAAAAAAGTATAAATTATTAAGTTTAAAATGTGATTGAAGTATATAATTATATTTTTTTTAAAAAAATAACAAATTATGTGGAATATACGTAAATAGAAATATGAAACAAATTAAGTGGAACAGAGTATTTTTCTAGTTTCACTATTGTATAATCTTTACTATTAAGTTTAAAAATATATTTCTATCGTCATTCAAATTTGTATTCAAATATTTCGATACAAACAAATTTTAATAAAAACAAAGAATAATAATTATTTTTTATAATAATTTCTTTTCTAAAAAATGATAATATTTTTTTATAAAAATTCAAAAAATATAATAATAATAATAAATAATAATATAAGCAGACAGAGCTAATAAAAAAGTAAAGGGTAAACTGTTTTTTAGTCCGTAACTGGACTCCTTTATCATTTTAGTCCCGTAAGTGGAGCCTATCACAAAATAGTCCCATAACTGAAAAATTTTCGTTGTTTTAGTCCTCCGGCGCCGGAGACGCCCGCATGGCTCGCCGGAAGCCACGTGTCCGCCAGGTCAACGACACGTGGATTTTATTTTATTTTTTATTTTTTTTCAATTGGACCAAATAAAAAAAAATTAAAAAGGCAAATAAAATTAAAAATAAATTAAAAATAAATTTTTAAAAAATGGAAAAAAAATAATAATAAAAAAATAATAAAATCCATGTGTCCGCAATGTCTCGCTGACCTGGCGGATTTCGGCTCCACTTACGAGACTAAAATGACAAGGGGTCCAATCAGGATAAAAAAAAAAAAAAAAAGGTTTACCCAAAAATAAATTATCAAGCCAACAGATCCAATAATATTAGTTTTGTTTAGAATTATTTTTAAAAATTTGACATTATTTAATTTTTTAATACAATAGATTAGATATTTTTTATTACCAAAAATCATATCAAAATTGTCTTTTTTAATCAATCAAAATTTGTTTCATTTAAATTAATTAAATTTATAATAAAAGTTTTATTTTATGACAATAATTATTTATTAATTATATCATGATAATTATTTTAGATATATTTTTCACGCGTTATTTAATTTTTAAATCATTTTCCATCCAATCGAAGATTTCTTAAAAGATGTAC